GGGGATCAGGAACTGACCCTAGGGGACAGACAGTCAAGTACTGTGGTGACAATCCCATCTTTGCAGCCCCCTTAATTCCCTCAGCTCAGATTCCCTACAGCTGGGATCCCTCATGTGCCTCACCAACAGCAGGCCTGTGTTCATCTATACACTGGGCACCCTACCAACCTGGCTTGTTGGAGAGCGCAGATCTCAAGGCCCAAACCACATCCTGCAGGGTTAGCTGTTATCAGAACTAATCACCATGGAAAATCATATAAACATCCTAGCTTACACACAAAAAGACTGAACATGCCCAGAGATGCAAAGCCACACAGCACGATGACGTAGGGCCAAAACTGGAAAATAGTACTAGACTGCACAAGAAAAGCTTGGTAGGGTCATTGGGGCAGTGGGGATAGTCCCTGAAGTCTTGGGACAGCCACTGTTACAGCTCTGGGTCACTTGAGAGAGGTGGATCTTTAGAGGGTCTGCCTCTGGCTACCTTGTCTGCTAAAGGCTCCAGTGGCAGATAATAGATGTCTTTTGCTCTGTACCCTGAAGACACCAAGGTCTCCCAACCCCAGGGACCATAATGGCTCCAGCCTGCCTCTATGATCAAGCCTGCTTCCAGCTTTTAGTCACGGTAGGGCACTAGGGACTGACAGAGCAGTTGCCTACCAAGCACAAACCCGGGGTTCTGCCCCAGCACCACAGAAGCCAGGCATCAGCAAAGGCCTACCACTCCAGCACATGGGAGGCACAGGCAGGGCGATCAGGATCTCAAGGCCATAGAATTCACGGACCACATGAAACCCGTCTCAAGAAATCTAAAACGTATTCTAGGGTTGTAATTCGTTGATAGAGCGCCCTCCTAGCAGGCAGGCTTTAGGTTTAGCACCCCCATAAATCTAGTGTGGCAGTATAAGCTTGTCATCCCAGCGGTGGGGAGGCACAGGCAAAGGACCTGGAGTTCAAGGCCAGTCTGAGCTACACAGCCACTTGGGAGACTAGCGTAGAAAACATGAGACTGTCTCAAAAAAATAAAAGCAAAAGAGTAGGGGGGACCCCAATACGGACTCTTGAGGCACCTCCCTGGCCCCAGGCCTGCAGCGAAGCCCCCCACGCGGCTGCAGCACCCCATGTCCACTCAGGACCTCTCCCTACACCCAAGGAAGCCCTGGAGCCCCGCGTCCCTGCCCTGCGACCCTCACCTGCGGGGCTCCTTCCGGGATCCGGCCCGGCCCGGAGACCCTCCCGCCCCGAGCCCCCACAATGCCCCGCGCGCCCCGCACCCCAACGCCGCCCCGCACCCGGCCCACAACACCGCCCCAGGAGATCCCGGCCCACGCATCCCCGGGAGGCTCCGGCCCCAGCCGCGGCTTCCGCGCTGAGCCCCGCCACACGTGCCTGCGGCTCGGGGACCCCGCTTGGGGTCCTGCGCCCCCTCCCCGCCCCCGGCTACCGCCGCCGCGCCTCGGGAAGCAGCTTCAGATGCGCCGCCCCGCCCCCGGGGCACCCATTGGCTCTTCACGCCGCGGCCGCCGCGCCTATTGGCTCGCGCGCACGTCCGTCTCGCGCCCTAGCTGCCGCCGCCTCCTTCCTGCTAGGCTCGGCTGGCTGTTCTTAAAGGGGCTCTCAAGCTGGGGGAGCTGCTGAAGTGGGCGCCGCCTGGCCGGGTCCTCGCTGGCGGAGGACGGCAGCCTGTCCTGTTGGGACCACGCGTTCGGTCGGCTTCATCCTTCTCACGTGCAATTACGCATGAGCGGCCAGTTTGGGGGTTCTCTGGGAAAACAGCGAAGAAAAAGTGGTGTTTACGGCCGGGTGGCGGCGCTCGCCTTTAGCCCCAGCACTCGAAGGCTGAGGCAGGCGGATCTCTGTGAGTTCGAGGCCAGCCTGGTCTCCAGAGCGAGTTCCAGGACAGCCTCCAAAACAATACAGAGAAACCCTGTCTCGAACCCCCCCTAAAAAAAAAAAACTGCGTCACACCTGGCTCAACTCATTGTTTCATTATTGTGTTTCTTTCATGCCTGATTGACCTGTTTGAGCCACCTCTCCTGGCTACTTGTTTTCTTTTCAATTGTTTCAGCATCTTTTAAAAAATATTTTATTTATTTATTATGTATACAATCTTCGGCCTGCATGCCAGCAGAGGGCATCAGAGCTCATTCAAGGTGGTTGTGAGCCACCATGTGGTTGCCGGTAATTGAACTCAGGACCTTTGGAAGAACAGTCAGTGCTCTTAACCGCTGAGCTATCTCTCCAGCCCTGTTTCAGCATTTTTAAAAATTATTTTATTTGCATTGGTATTTTGCCAACATTATGTCCGTGTGAACTGACATGTGGGTGCTAGGACTTGAACCTGGGTCCTCTGGAAGAGCAGTCAGTACTCTTCACCACTGAGCCATCTCTCTATCCCCTTGTTTTAGGATTTGTGTTTTGTCTTTAATTAGTCTACATAGCCTGAATTGGCATCAAACAGTGACTCTCCTGCCATAGCTCCCTGATTGCTGGGAGCCACCTCTGCAGGTCACACACAAAAGGAGCGGCGACAAGTACAAGCAGACACTGTAGAGACCAAGCCAGTATGTACTAGTTCAGGGACAGTCACCTGCTGCACACAGATAGTCTAACTGCCCGCTTTGCATGCCCAGGGAGAAGGCCGTGTCCAGACTGGAAGGCGTGTGTACCCTCCTGAGCTGTTTGGCATCAGAGAAACTCTGGACTAGTTACAGTTGCGAGGGTTTTGACCCAGGCCATGTCTAAATCTGGTTTTCATTTCCTTTTGTTGTCCTTAGGCCTTTGAGCGTGTCACACAGGTGTTTACTGTGAAGGGAGCCCTTGGCACTAAGTGCCTTTTGTTTTTCTTTTCTTTTTTTTTTTTCTTCTTCTTTTTGGTTTTTTTGAGACAGGGTTTCTCTGTGGCTATGGAGGCTGTCCTGGAACTCCCTTGGTAGTCCAGGCTGGTCTCGAATTTACAGAGATCCGCCTGCCTCTGCCTCCCAAGTGCTGGGATTAAAGGCGTGTGCCACCAACGCCTGGCTTGTTTTTCTTTTTTGCATTATGGGATTTTTTTAAAATACTGGAGCAAGGGACATGTACCCTGGTACAGCGAATATAAAAAGACCATTTGCAGGAGTCCGTTCTCTCCTGACATGGTCTGGAGATCGAGTTCGGGTCCTTGCTGAGCCTTCTCATTGCTTGGCTGTTGCTTCCTGCTGTATCTTTATAGGTGGTCGTCGTCTTTACATGTGGGTTTTATAGTCATTTCTCTTAGTCATTTTATTTTTATTTTTTCTGAGACAGGGTTTCTCTGTGAAACAGCCCTGGCTGTCCTGGAATCTTCTTGGTATACCAGGCTGGCCTCAAACTCACAGAGATCTACCCTCCTCTGCCTCTTTTTTTTTTTTTTTTTTTTTTTTTTTTTTGGTTTTTCGAGACAGGGTTTCTTTGTGGCTTTGGAGGCTGTCCTGGAACTAGCTCTTGTAGACCAGGCTGGCCTCGAACTCACAGAGATCCGCCTGCCTCTGCCTCCCGAGTGCTGGGATTAAAGGCGGGCGCCACCAACGCCCGGCCCCTCCTCTGCCTCTTGAGTGCTGGGATCAAAGGTGTGTGCTATCACCTGGGTGGTAAGGACGTACGCCTCTAATCCCAGTACTCCGGAGGCAGATGCAGACAGATCTCTTGAGTTTTAGGACAGCCTGGTCTACAGAGTGAGTTCCAGGACAGAGAAACCCTGTCAAGGAAAAAAAGAAAACATAATTACTTTGGACTGGAGAGATGACTCATTGGTTAAGATCACTGGCTGCTCTTCCAGAAGACCTGGGTTCAATTCCAGCACCCACATGGCAGCTCATAACTGTCTCCAACTCCAATTCCCAAGAATCTGATTTATTCAAACCGACACCAGGCACATATATGGCACATATATTCAGGTAAAACAAATGCATACAATAATAAAATTTAAAAACAAAAATAAGCCGGGTGTTGGTGGCACACGCCTTTAATCCCAGCACTCGGGAGGCAGAAGCAGGCTGATCTCTGAGTTCAAGGCCAGCCTGGTCTACAGAGCGAGTTTCAGGACAGCCTCCAAAACAATACAGAGAAACCCTGTCTTGAAAAAACAAAAACAAAAAACAGGTTGTTTGAAAAAGCTTCTTGCCGGGCGTTGGTGGCACACGCCTTTAATCCCAGCACTTGGGAGGCAGAGGCAGGCGGATCTCTGTGAGTTCGAGGCCAGCCTGGTCTACAGAGCAAGTTCCAGGATAGCCAGGGATACACTCAGAAACCTTGTCTGGAAAAATCAACAACAAAAAGGATCACCTCTTGCGGAGAACATGGTTTGGCTCCTAGCACTCACACTGAGACTCACAACCATTCCCAGGGAGACCGACTCCCTCTTCTGGACTTCACATGGTGCCGTGTGTGTGTGTGTGTGTGTGTGTGTGTGTGTGTGTGTGTGTGTGTGTGTGTGTGTGTGTGTGTGTGTGTGTGTGTGTGTGTGTGTGTGTGTGTGTGTGTGTGTGTAGAGAAAACATTCATCCACCTTAAATAAATCTAAATTAAAAATAAGATCGGTAGTGCTAGTGACCCTGAGGATAAAGGGAACAGTGTGGACAAAAGGCCCAAAATACATCATATACACGTGCGAAATTTTTAAAGGACTGATAAAAATATTACATTTAACTGTCTCCTGTTAGGTTGCCTAGGAAGCCAGAGTTGGAGCACTGCACATGCGCAAAGATCGCCCTGTGATTGCTCACTCTTTTGACGTCCTCGTAAGCGCCCTTTACATATTGGCCCCACCCCTTCCTGCGGCGAGGTCACGCACGCTCGTCGCACGGACGCTGCGTGATGATGTAAGGTGGCGCGGGCGCCATCCCGGAAGCGCGAGCCAGGCCGCCAGATGTGCAGGTGCCGAGGCCGGCGACGGCGGGCCGGGCCAGGGCGGGATTGGGGGCGGCGGGAGGCTGTGCCGCAGCGGGGAGAGAGGGCTCGCTCTGGCCCTGTGGCTGAGCCGCTCTCAGTTTCCCCGGCGGCGCGGCGCGGGCGGCCCCGGATGCCATCCCGACTTGTGTGACCGCCGGCAGTCCGCAGTCCTGAGCTGCTCCGAGTGCACGCGTGCCTCAGTTTCCCCTGCCGGAGGGGCGGGGCCTCAGGGCATGTCTCAGCCCCGCCTTATCCGGTTTGGTTTTCTTTGTTTTTGTTTTCTGCCCCTCGGAGTTCGGGTCGTCGAGTTGAGTTCCGTTGGGACGAGGGCGCGAACTCGGGCGCTGTGACGCCCTGTGCTCCTTGTTTGTGACCTTGGGGCGCGAAGCCCTGCCAGTCAGCTTTGCATTCCTGGGGCGTTGTAGTGTCTTTTTGAGGTAGTAACCCAAATTCGCCTCCAATTCCTGGTAATCCTTCTGCTTCAGCCACACTTAAGTAGGAGAAGAAAGTCATTAAATCTGTTTTTGAGATAGGAGCACAGACTGGCTGAGATCCTTGAAGTGCGCTCGCCTCCGTCTCTCGAGAGCGCCGGGAATTACAGTCGTGACTGGCTCCTCCTGGCCTGTGTTGTCTTGCTTTGAGTCAGGGTCTTATTTGCCCCACTCTGGCCTGGAACTCAAAAACAAAGGATAGCCACCTCGGACTTTGATCTTTTGCCTACCTTAGCGCTGAACACAGGCATTCACCACACCTGATTGGTTTTCTTTTTCGACTGTCTTTTTTCCCCAAGATGGCCCGGAACTCACTAAGTAGCCCAGAGTAACCCTGAATTTGCAACTGTTGTTTAGGCACCCGAGCGCTAGAATGACATACCCTTTTGAACTGTCATACCTGGCCTGTGTTTTAAGATAGGGTCTCATGCATCTTAGGGTGACCAGGGTCTTTGTGTATAGCCCAAATTGACCTTGCGTGCTACCATTTCAGCCCCAGTCCAAGAATAATAGTGTGATCTGGAACAAAATGTCGAGCCAAAATTCTGCATCTGAGATGCCATTGGCCTGTTTGACTACCCTTTATCCACGTTTTCTTCTTCTAAAAAATGTTTGCATTCTATTTATTTGGGGCGCGGGGCATACACCTTCCTGACTTAGGGGACAGTCTGCGGGAGTTGGTTTTCCTTCTTCTGTGTCCCAGGGTTGAGTCCTCTGGCTTGACGGCAAGCACCTTTTATGCACTGAGCCGTGTCACAGGGCAGCCTCGACATGAAGTAGGGTCTTCCTATGTTGCTCAGGGTGCCTGGGAAGATCTGTGAAGTCCTGACTGGTCCTGAAGGTTGGCTCCTCCTGCTTTGCTGATCTCCCCTTCTGCTGAGGATGTCTGCCTTTTGCTGGATGACTTTGTATGACTGGACTTGTGCTTGTTAATTGGAAGGGGTCATGCCCTGCCCATAGCTAGTTTCTCTTTGTTCTTCTAAGTAGCCCTGGCTGTCCTGTAGACCAGGCCGACCTCTAACTCAGAGATCCGCCCGCCTCTGCTACCACACCTGGCTCAAGTGTGTGGTTTTGTCTTGGTGTGTATGTGTGGGGTATGGCGGTCAGAGAACCCCAGTGGATACACTCATTGCTTGCCTTCTGCTGTTTGAGACAACATCTCTCTTCACCTTTCTGTGAGCCGGGCTAGCCGGCCTTGGGGCTTCGAGCTGTTTTCTTGTCTCTGCCTCCTTTGTCTCCATGAAGGTGCTAAGGTTGCCGATGAATGCACTGCTGTGTCTGACTGTATGAGTTCTGGCGACCCCAAGGCAGGTCATCAAGTTGTCACGCCAAGTCCTAGGACCCCAGCCTCCCTCCTACCTTACATTCTCGTTCTGTCTTGTTCCTCGGTGGTGGCATGGAAGTGACTGACTCGTGCCAGCTTTCCTGCCTCAGTAGTGTGTACTGGAGTAGAGGAGACCACCATACGGCATGTTTGTTGGTTAGGGTCTCCCTGTAGAGCCCCATGTGACTTCCATCCTTGTGACTGAGATTGGCCTTGAATTCCTGGTCCTCCCGCCTTGACCTCTTCAGCTATGGGTTTCCAGTGCCACTGAGCCTGCTTGCTCTGTGTGACTCTTCCCCAGCAAGGTTGGCTTCTCTCAGCCAGGTCTTGTCAGGGTCCTCGGGTTTTCCTGAATATCAGAGAAGGGTTGGTGCTGTGACTCCCCTGTTTTGTGCTGGTCTGGGGTGCTCTGCTCACTGGGGCACAGCAGAGGCCATCATCTGCCAGCCATCCAGTGTCAGGCTGGCAGGCCACCTGGGCCTCAAATCCTCAACTTTAAGTTGCCGATAAAAGTGTAGCTAGTGCCGGGCGGTGGTGGCGCATGTCTTTAATCCCAGCACTCGGGAGGCAGAGGCAGCCTCCAAAACAATACAGAGAAACCCTGTCCTGAAAAACCAAAAAAAAAAAAAAAAAAGTGTAGCTAGCTTCAGAGCTAAATATTTTGTTTCATTTTTGAGGATAGGTCTCACAGAGTAGCCCAGGCTGGCTTGGAACTAACTGCTGTTTCCTAGGGTGGCCTACAACTTGAAGTAATCCTCCTGCCTCAGTCCTCTAAGTGCTGAGATGACAGGTGTAAGTCACCAAGCGTGTGTGAGTTTGTGTATATTGTTTGTTTGAGATAGGGTTTCTCTGTGTAGCCCTGGCTGGCCTGGAGCTCACAAACCTGCCTGCCTCTGCCTCCAGAGTACTGGGGATTACAGGTGTGCGATGTTGCTGTGCCCTGCTAGGCCTGTTTTAGGACGTATTTATGTGTGCATTTCGTGTGTGTGTGTGATGAGTATCTAATTCTGCTGTAGCAAGCATGTGTAGGTCAGAGGGCAACTTTTGGCTCTCTGTTCCCACCATGTTGGTTCTGGGGTTTGAACTGAAGTCATCATGCTTGGTAGGGAGCACCCTTTCCCCTGAGTCATCTTGCTGGCCCCCAAAGCAAGTTTAGAGCTGACTTTGGAACTTGTTTGGAGCATGTGTGCCCGTGTTCCACAGTGCGCATGCAGAGGCCAACCTCGGGTCAGTCCTTGCCTTCCACAATCTTTGAGACGGGCTCTTTTTCATTGTCCCTCGCCATGTACACCAGCTGACGCTTGATAACTGAGGTGTCACAGGAAGGCAGGTGACGACACGCATACCCACTGCCCCAGCACTCAGGAGGTGGAGGGTCAGGAATCCAAGGTTGTCTTCGGCTGTTCAGTGAGTCAGAAGCCACATGGGCCATGGAGAAAGTGCCTCAGAAACACAAGAAGCAGGGCATGGTGGCACACAGTCTTGATCCCAGCACTGGGAGACAGAGGCAGGCAGTCTCTGTGAGTTCAAGGACAGCCTGTTCCACAGAGTGAGACCCGGGTTCAATCCCCAGAAACTACACCCAAAGCTGGGGCTCAGTGTTGATGAGACGGGAAACAGGCGTAGGCAGACCCCTGGGAGCATGTAAGCCATCTGGCCTGGCCTGTATGGTCACGTTGTAGGCCAGTGAGAGACCGTCTCAAACAACGGCGGAAGAGTGGAACTGGACAGAAGGCTCAGCACACTTGCTGCACCCATGGCTGCCTGTAGCTCAGCTCCAGTGCATCTGTCCCCTCCAGCCTCCGTCCGAGGAGAAGTGGTGTCTGCAGTTTGTCCCCTCACCATCACGGAGTGCTAGGCACCCATGCATGTCCCTCATAAATCAAATATAAAACTGACCTTAATCCAAACAGGAGCAGGCCCTGACAGGAGGTGGGGTGACAGCTTTGCAGAGTCTGGCGGGGACAGTGAAGGGAGAAGTGACGTTGCCCAGGCTGTGCCTGTGGAAAGTTCAGGGTCTTGTGCCAGTGTGAGCTGTGGGGGTGACAGATGGTGGTCGCTCGCTGCAGCCCCAGGTAGCTCAGAGCTCTCCATCCTGCCTCAGCTTCCTGAGTGCTGAGTTACAGGCGTGCTACGTGCTCAGCTCATCTGACTTACGTTGTGACCAACGCCCACAAACACCCCAAGCCCCCAGCCTAAGTTTCTGAGGCTGGGGTGGCACCTGCTAGGACTGTGATGGGTTCTTGGCCTCCTCACCAGCCCTCGTTCTGACTTCACGTCCTGTTCTGGTCATTTCAGGTATCGCAGGTGGAGGGGAAAGAGATGGACCCCCCGGACTCGGCCTCGAGGGTCTTCTGTGGTCGCTTCCTCAGCATGGTGAACGCTGATGATGTCAATGCCATCATCCTGGCCCAGAAGAACATGTGAGCAGGCGTGTGCCTGTCCGTGTCGTCCCGTGTCCCCTCCTCCTCCCACATCTTACATCTGTGCTTTTCTCCCTCACTGGGACAACCTCAGCCTGCGTTCAGCGGGGATTGGTGTGAAAGGCAGGTGCTGGGCTGAGGTGCAGAGGCCTCAAGTCCAGTCCAGAGGACACTCTTCCAGCAGAGGCCAGAGGACAGTCTTCCAGCAGAGGACAGAGGCTGTTGGCAGCTGTCCTCCCCTGGGGCTCTCACCTCATATTTGCTTAGGGGTTGTTTATTTTCTTTGGTTTTTCGAGACAGGGTTTCTCTGTATTGTTTTGGAGGCTGTCCTGGAACTCACTCTGTAGACCAGGCTGGCCTTGAACTCACAGAGATCCACCTGCCTCTGCCTCCTGAGTGCTGGGATTAAAGGTGTGTGCCACCAACGCCTAGTTTAGAGGTTGTTTTTGTTTGTTTGTTTTGTTTTGTTGTTTTTCTGTTTCTCTGTGTTGTTTTTGGAGGCTGTCCTGGAACTTGCTCTTGTAGACCAGGCTGGCCTTGAACTCACAGAGATCCACCTGCCTCTGCCTCCCAAGTGCTGGGATTAAAGACGTGCACCACCAACTGCTAGGTACTTTGTTATTTTTTTAAGACAGGGTCTCAATATGTAGCCCTGGCTGTTCTGGAACTCACTCTGTAGATCAGACTAACAGAAACCCTCTTGTCTCTGCCTTCTGAGTCTAGGACAGCCATATTGTTACACAGAGAAACTCTGTCTCAAAAAACCAAAAAGTAGATAAATACCATGTCAACCTTATGACTGGATGTGGTAGCACAGGCCTGTAATCGCAGCACTCGGGAGACAGAGGCAGGAGGATCTCTGTGAGTTCAAGGCCAGCCTGGTCTACAGAGAGTTCCAGGACAGCCTCCAAAACAAGACAGAGAAACCCTGTCTCAAAAAAACAAAACAAAAATAAGCATCAAAACAAGTACAAGGGCATGGAACAGGCCATTGGCCAGGCTATGTAGCAGGGACCTGTCAGAAGAAACTCATGTACACAACATAAAGAATGGAGGCTACCCCAGAAGGGCGTCTTTGAGTAGGGCTTTCAAGGATGAGTAGGAGTTGAGTGACCAGTACAGCAAACAGAAATCTTCAGGCTGTGACTCTGTAACTGAATGCAGAGGTTGTGACTCTCATAGTGCTCAGCTCAGGCCAAGGGGGCTCCTAGGCCTGATGCAAGGGCCCTCGCCCTCTCCCCATAGGCTGGACCGCTTTGAGAAAACCAACGAGATGCTTCTGAACTTCAACAATCTGTCCAGTGTGCGACTGCAGCAGATGAGCGAGCGCTTCATGCACCACACCCGCACCTTGGTGGACATGAAGCGGGACCTGGACAGCATCTTCCGCAGGATCAGGTGCCCCACCTCCCCAGAGCGCCCCAGTTGCCCCAGCATATTGCTTGACTTCCTCCTCCCGCTCCCTGCGGTACAGAGCACCTTAGCCCCAGCCACGGGGTGGCCCCTCCTTGGTCTGTCACCCAGCCCCCACTCTGAGGCCCTGTCCCAGGGACTCAGCTGGGCTTCGCACCCTCAGTCCCTTCTGAAGCCCCGTCTCCCCTCCTCCCACCCCTCACCCCTCTCCTAGGCACTTCTCGCCTCGCCTTCCCTCCAGTGCCCCCCACTCCTTCACAATCTCACTCCAAAGCCTGTGTCTGGGTCCCTATTTTCCAAGGCCCCCTCCCCTCCCCTTGAGGTCCCCTCTGCTTCCCTTCCTCTCCCCTCCAGGGCCCTACCCTCTGCCCTCTCCAGCCCTCGGTATTCTGGTAGTTTTACAAGGTGGTTCTGACCTCTGAGAGAGCGACCTGGAAGTAGTGAGTTTCCCTTTGTCATCTGGTCCACACTGCTGGGACCTGACACAAGGGCAGGAGGATGACAGTTGGGTAGGTGGGCCAGGCCCTCTGCTTCTGAAGGCAGGCTGAGCAGCATCAGAGCCTGGGGACACAGGCCAGTCAGGGTTCGTTTCGGTTCTTCCCACAATGGTGCAGGCCCCCAGATGATGACATCCGTGTCCTTGACTCTCGGAGGGCTCCAGGCGTACCTCACAGCGGCAGCCAGCTGCCCAGACCCAGGACAGCTAGAGCCACAGGGGGTCTAGACCATAGATTGACCCTTTCCTTCAGTCCTGGGCTCTGGCCTGGGGCGCCTCGCTGGAGCTAAGGGGATAAAGTAAGCTCTACCTAGAAGCCTAGATCTAGGTGTTCTGAATCAGTCTGGCTGCAGTCAGGGTGGAGGCTGTGTGCTCTGAAGTTCCTCTGCTGCCCATCAAGCCTGGGGTACAGGACTTGGGGGCAGTGTGACCAACAGCCAGTTCTGAAGGTAGTAAAGCCAGCTGAAGTGACACACAGGAAAACGAGACAGGAGACTGTATCTTACAAAACCAAGAAGGGACTGGGCACATAAAGTTCATGTTGCGCAGTCGTGAGAACCAGAGTTCAAATCCTGAGAGCATACATTTAGAAAGTCAGGTGTAGGGGGCTGGAGAGATGGCTCAGAGGTTAAGAGCACCGACTGTTCTTCCAGAGGTCCTGGGTTCAATTCCAAGCAACCACATGGTGGCTCACAACCATCTTGAATGAGATCTGGCGCCCTCTGGTGGCACGCAGGCAGAAGACTAAATACATAATAAATAAAGTATTAAAAGAAAAAAAAAGAAAGTCAGGTGTAGCCAGGTGATGGTGGCGCACGCCTTTAATCCCAGCACTCCGGTGGCAGAGGCAGGCGGATCTCTGTGAGTTTAAGGCCAGCTTGGTCTACAGAGCGAGCTCCAGGACAGAGAAACTCAGTCTTGAAAAAGAAAAAGTGTGTGTTGCTCTTGCAGAGGACTGGAGTTTGTCTCCTGCCATGTCAGGTGGCTCGCCCTTGTGTTGGGGAGGCAGAGGACAGGTGGGTGCTGGCTTCTCACTGGACTTGGTCTGTGGACATGGACTGAGGCAGGCCCCGTGTAGAGCTCTGACCCCAACACCCGGGAGCCAAAAGAGAAAGAAAAGGTACAGAAAGCAGCAAGATAGTGGTCACCTCCTTCCTGTCATGACCTCCGCTCCTCCTTCCCTAAGGTGCTGCTGGAACCAGGCTAGAGACAAGCAGAAGACCCCAGGCACAGCACAGGGAGACCACTGCCCAGGGCTGAGAGACAGGTAGTTCCCAGAGCCCAGTGAGGTTTCTGCTTGTGGCTCATCCCTGTCTGTCCCCTTCCCCACAGGACGCTGAAGGGGAAGCTGGCCCGGCAGCACCCAGAGGCCTTCAGTCGTAAGTGTGCCCCGCCCCACCCTGCTGCCGGCAGCACCTTCCAGCTAGGGCAGGCTCCGAAGGCTGCCTGGACAGTCGCCCATCCAGGGTCCCATGGGTGGTGGGGGAGAGGCTTCTGCAGTGGGAGGTCAGGTTTCAGGGATGAGTGGTGACAGCTCTGTCATCTTACACCCAGAAGCTCTGATGAGCCAGACTGTCACCTCTAAGTACCTGTGAGGTGGGGACTGCACATTCCATTTCACAGAGGGGAAACTGAGGCCTGCATGGAGGGAAGTGATACTGCTGGGGTTTGAGTAAGGTGGACCCTCAGGGCTGGAAACAGAATCTGGTTCTCAGGTGTATGGCTGTAATATCACTGGGACCCCAACGTTTCACATCTGCTGAGTGGGCCTCTGTTCCCACCCGAGGGATAGGTGCAGTTCCTGGGGTTTCTTTTGTTTGCTTTGCGTTTTGACACATGGTCTCATGTAGTCCAAGCTGGCCTCCAGTTGTTTATGTAGCTAAAGAGGACCCTGAGCTTCTGACCCTCCTGCCTCCACCATAGAGTGTTAAGATGGGGCAGGGCGGGTGTGTACCTGGCCCAGGGGATGCCATTCTGCTGCAGACAGAGCCTAACTTGAGCATTTATTGTTTCTGTCTCTATTTTTAAGTTTTCATGTGGGCTCTCACTGTGTAGTCCTGGCTGGCCTCAAATCCTTTGTAATCCTCCTGCCTCAGTCTCCCTTCCCGGATGACAAATGGCCTTGCTCATTGTGAGTCAGCTCACTCTGGAGCCTTGATGAGATGCCTTCTACTTGCCCAGGCCTCAGTTTCCTCCTCTGTAAAATGAGCTGATTTCATCCCCCATGGGTGGGAAAGTTTTAGGGGCCACCGTTACAGGAAGGCCTGGGTCCATACCTTGACCAGCATGCGGGTCCTTCCCCAGACATCCCAGAGGGGTCATTCCTAGAGGACGAAGATGAAGACCCCATCCCACCCAGTATCACCACGACCATCGCCACCTCAGAGCAGAGCACAGGCTCCTGTGACACCAGCCCTGACACTGTCTCACCATCTCTCAGTCCTGGCTTTGAGGACCTGTCACATATTCGACCTGGTTCCCCTGCCATCAACGGCCACAGCCACACAGATGAGGAGGAAGAGACACGTGGAGAATAACCCCCTTCACTATCCCAGAAAGGCTCAGGGCAGCAGTGGTCCTCCGGGGTCACATGTGGTCAGCTTTGCTGCTCCATTCTGTCACAGGCAGGACGGGATTTCCCCATGCCAGCACATTCACCCTAGCTGGGGCAGTAGGGCTGGCTACAGGTATCCTGGAGCTCAGCCTAGGCCAGCTTCTGAAGTCCCCAGAGACCAAAGCCAGATGTCCCCCAAGTCATGGGGGAGGCCCCCTGGAGGCAAAAGGTACTGCAGGTCTGAGCTTGCCCCTGGCAGCTGGTAGCTGCTGATTTAACTCTGGAGTACGTTTCTTTCTTGTGTGGAATTCTGGGAGAGGTAGAAGGTTCCAGATAGAGGCAGCCTTGACTCTGTGGGGAGCTGTTTCTCACAGGTCTAAGAGGCATCTCCAGGAGCCAGCCGACTGTCCCTAGAAAACAACTGAATGGAATATTTTTGTACCGATGTTTACAGACGCTGTCGGGAAGTTATCAGTAAAGACTCTTAAAAGGGAACTGTGCACGGCTGTGGCTTGCTTCTGTCTGGGGTCACCCCCCAGGATGAGGGCAGATTCTGGATGTCACAGGGGCCTGCCTACTGGAGGGTGCTGACCAAGCGCCAAACCCTGTGAATACCAAAACGGCTGTGCCAGAGGTCCTCCTGCCCGGTCCAAGGGCAGAGCCGGGGCCACCCTTTGTTAAACCACCTTCTCTGAGCCAGCACTGCCCCGGCAAGGACGCCTACTGACCTGGGGGCCTCTGACGGACGGCTGCTGTGACATAGCCAGGGACAGACACCTGCTGTCACACACCATGTTTGTCTGTCTCCCCAGTGCTTGGGTTAAAGGTGAGCCGCCGCCACCCACCTCCATGGAGCACTTTTAAATGATAGTCTTCCGGACGTAACTCCCTGACTGCAGAGTCCCTGACAAGCAGGCACTAGGCCTCCTGGTCCAGCTCCAGCACTGTAAGATGGCCCCAAGGAGAGAAAGAAGCCCTAGGCTGGATCCCTTGAATTGGGACTGGTTTGAGGGGATCCAGTGCCCTCTTCTGGCCTCTGAAGGCACTGCATAGGGGCACTTGTAGGGAAAAAACTCAAAAGTATCTTCTCAGTTTGGGCGTTGGTGGTGCACGCCTTTAATCCCAGCACCTGGGAGGCAGAGGCAGGTGGATCTCTGTGAGTCTGAGGTCAGCCTGGTCCATGGAGCAAGTATCAGGACAGCCTCCAAAGCCACACAGAGAAACGCTGTCTGATAAAACAAAAATAAATACTAAGCAAATAAATAGATAACTAAAATTAAAAAGTACCTTCTCAGGAGCTACTCTCTACCAGCCTGGGAATCAGATCATCAGAGACACTTCCTCCCACAGCAGAAGGATGGAGTGCAGAGAGTGAGAGCACTACATGGGCTGTCAGCCTCAAACCCCTCCCCTCAGAGCTCAGGGAATCCTTCAGGAGGCAGGAAGAGTGTAAAAATCTGCGGGCTTGGAGGACTCTGAAGAAACAAGGTCTGTAAAGACAGATAGCATGACCAACACACGTGTGAACTCCATGAGCCTGGCAGCACAGGGCGCACAGGTCAGTTATACAGGGTCTCAGTGCTGGCGGCGAGGGGGACACGCCCCATCCCAACCCAGAAGCTATCTCCAACTGATAACCACTCACAAAGGAAAATTAGTTTCCTCTAAGTCTTCCTGGGTATACAAACCGTGCTTTCAGGGCAGGTCACATAATGAACTCAATGGTAATGTTGGAGGGTTTTTGTCTTATGTTCTGTCTACGCATTTTTGCCTTTTATTTGTATATTATGGCTTCCAGCTTTGAGTTTCATGGGATCTCTATTTACATGAACGGGCGTGTCTGTATGTTTCTTGTCTTTTTTTTTAACCTTTATTTTGTCCTGGTTTTTATTTTATATCTGTTTTCCAATGAGCAAAAAAGGGTGTGGATTTGGGTGGAGAGTGGGGGGAATCATCATCAAACTATATTGTTTGGGGGAAAATATATCTTCAGAACAAAAGTTATCTTCCCAGATAGTCCGCATATAATTGCTTATTGCCTGATGCCCTGGGGACTATTCGAGAAACAAGAACAGCGACACTACCAAGCTCACAGGAAATTTAAATTCCCTCTGTCCAACGTCTAGTGGCTGTATTCTTCTTGTTTTTGTTTTTTTGAGATAGAATCTCACTATGGAGCCCTGGCTGGCGTTGAGCTTCCAGAAATCGCCCGGCTTCTGCCTCCCATCTGCTAGAATTAAAGGCTAGTGCCACCACAGCCTCACTCTTAGAAACTGTCTTTTCGGCTGGGCGGTGGTGGTGCAAGCCAGCCTGCTCCACAGAGTGAGTTCAGGACACTTAGGGCTACACTGACACCGTCTCGAAAACATTTTCCCATTATTTTCCTTTCTTTTGCGTCCGAGAGCGCCAGCCCAAGTCGGCGGACAGCTCCGGAGCCCGCCGTCTCCCCCCAGCGGAGGGTGCTTCCGCCGCCGGCGCCCGGCCTTGTCCCCGGCTTCGGACGCTGCTTGCTGAGGCCCGGCTGGCCTGCTGCAGTGACGGCGAGCACACCGCACGAGCCCCAGCCCCAAGAGAACCAAAAGCGAGTCCGGTGGCGGGGGAACGCCAGCAGCGCTGGACGCGTCCGCAGGGCGCCAGCCCCTCCCGCGTTCGTGGCGCAGCTACACCGGAAGCGGCTTTTGCTCATCCGGCCACTGCTCGGCTTCGCTTGCCAGTACCCAACATGGCGCCGGACGAAGCCTAGGGCGGGAACAACGTGAGGCGCGGATTGTGACGTCAACTCGCAGCGTGCTCAGTGCGCAGGCGCTCTGAGAGGAGACTGGGGGTTCCGGTTCCGCCGACCTCTTTCTCTTCAACGAGGCGGCCGAGCGGGTCGGTGGTGCCTGCGTCGCTGCTGGGCTCGTAGCGGGTTGGCCGGGGCGGAGACGCGGCGGGGACCGGCTTGGGGATGGGGTGGCTCGTGGGCGCCGCTCCCGCCTCGCGCGTGCCTGCCGGGGCTCGGCCGGGGACCAGGGCGGGCACGCGGCAGCCCAGCCCGGGAGCCGCAGGCGGATGGCCGGAGCTCGGGCCTGAGCTGCAGGGCGGCTCCTGGGCCAATCCAGGGGTGGGCCGGGCGTTTCGTCCCGATGTGGCTACAGACGGGCTTGAGGGCCAGCCTGTGCCATGGGTTAGTCTCGAAAAAAAGCCAAGCCGGCGTGGTGATGCACGGCTGCCTCCTCGGCGCCTGAGAAGTTAACGCTGAATCTAGCCTGCCTTCTCGGGAGGACAGCGCTTGCTGGTGGAGCTTGCGTTGGAGGATAGTGGCATGCCGTCCTCCCCGGGGGTGGTGACGGGGAAGCTTTAGGCTGCCTCAAAGGGCAGCGCTGAGCTTCGGTTCCCAGCAGGGCTGGGGGTTTCGGATGGCATTCGGCAGCCTCCGGGGGAAACATACTGGGCCTGCTCAGGCAGACACGGCCACACGTCACCGATGGGTCTCTTTCCTCTGCTTAGCAGACGCCAACATGCAGATCTTTGTGAAGACCTTGACGGGCAAGACCATCACTCTTGAGGTCGAGCCCAGTGACACCATCGAGAATGTCAAGGCCAAGATCCAAGATAAGGAAGGTTGGTTGGGTTGCCGGGCTCCGCCGTGTGGGTAGGGGTATTGGTGGGAGTGCTTTCCCAGCTCCTACAGGAAGGAGCTGCCGCCAATCTGGCTTCTCCTGTGCACAGGCATTCCACCTGACCAGCAGAGACTGATATTTGCCGGCAAGCAGCTGGAGGATGGCCGCACCCTGTCGGACTACAACATCCAGAAAGGTAAGGGCTGGAGCAGCCTGGCTGTTTGGCACTTGGGCGGAGGACTTGAGTGGTGTCGCTTTTCTCTAGCAACACGGGAAGAAAAGCGGTAAGGGGCAGGCTCCAGAAGTGGCGTCCAGTGGCATGCCTTGTCCTTTACCTTTATATTTGCCTTGTGTGGGTTTTCTTTTGTTTGTTTTTAGTTTTACAAGACAGGGTTTCCCTGTGGCTTTGGAGCCTGTCCTGGATTGTGTGGGTAGCCTGGGGTTGCAGGTTTGAGGCATGGTGCCTGAAGCTTGTTTTTTTTGTGTGTGTGTGTGTGTTTTTTTTTTTTTTAAGATTTATTTATTACATATACAGTGTTCTGCCTACATGCCAGAAGAGGACACCAGATTGAATTGTAGATGGTTGTGAGCAACCATGTGGTTGCTGGGAATTGAACTCAGGACCCCTAGAAGAGCAGTCAGTGCTCTTAACCTCTGAGCCATCTCTCCAGCCCCGTGTGTTTGTTTTTGTTTTTTGTTTTTTTCGAGACAGTTGTTCTCTGTGACTTTGGAGGCTGTCCTGGAACTCTCTGTAGACCAGGCTGGCCTCGAACTCACAGAGATCCGCCTGCCTCCTGAGGGCTGGGATTAAAGGCGTGCGCCACCAACGCCCAGTTAAACAACCAAATCTTCTGTGTCCTTTTCTTTGCTTGAGAAGCCCTGACCTTGAACTCGCAGATCTGTCTGCCTCCTGAGCGCTGGGATTAAGGGCTGTGCTACCATCACATAGCAGGTCCTTTTGTCTTTGTTCCTGCTGACGCTCTGCCTGGCTGGCCCTGGCGTGTCAGGGTGCACCGTAGCACCCTGCTGGACTGCAGAGCCACCACAGCCCTTGATGCTTGTGACTCTGGTGTCTGGGGCAGGGCCTCCGGTACCTGGCTGGCCTCCGGACTGTTTTCTTGTTGGTTTGTTTGACCTTTGACCTGTGCTCCCACAGGACCAGAGTGTCAGTATTACAAAAGGGGAAGAAGTTGGTTTCCGTTCTTTGTGTATTAAGGAGTCTGGCCTGTGCCAGCAATGTGGGAGCCTCAGGGGTGCTGGGTGAGGTCCCTGGGCTTCGGGGCTCAGCTCTGTCTTCCTCCCAGAGTCCACCTTGCACCTGGTGCTTCGTCTTCGCGGGGGCATCATCGAGCCATCCCTTCGTCAGCTGGCCCAGAAGTACAACTGTGACAAGATGATCTGCCGCAAGTGCTACGCACGCCTGCACCCCCGTGCCGTCAATTGTCGCAAGAAGAAGTGCGGCCACACCAACAACCTGCGCCCCAAGAAGAAGGTCAAATAGAGCTGTGGCCACACCTGACCCTGGGGCCAAATAAAGTCCCCTTCCATCGACTGGAGCAGTAACTGGTGTCCGCGTGGCTGTTCTGTTGAGGGATGGGCTGGCAGGGGTTCCCAGTGTGCCGGGTGGCAGGCATGAGCTGCTGGCACACGTCTGCTGTGGCGGTGAGGGTTGTCCCTGGGCCGGGAAGGTGGGCAGTGCGTTATGCAGCCCTGTGAGGGAAGGGGTGGGGCTCAGTCCTGCAGTCTTGTGTGGACGCAGCAGCCAAGGAGCCGCAGCGTGGAGCCCCACTCCACCAGCTTCCTTGTTGCTCTATTCAGTCTGGCCGGGTATGGGATCATGGTTGGAGCCTGACCTCACCCAGCCCAGTGTTGTAGATGCCAGCTAACTTGCTGAGCCCACGGTGCAGAGCAACCTTCCTGTGTCAGGCGCAGTCCTGGGACTCCCCCTCCTCCCTGGTTTAGGATTCACAGGCCCACAACCCGGCTGATTCACATCAACCAGTGTAGCTGCCTTTGTAGTGCAAAGGGCTTTTATCCTCCACATCTTCGTTGATTAAATCGGGGTACCTTTGGCATTAAGGGTTCTGTGTGTTAGAACCTGTGTGCCAACAGCCTGCAGTCACCCGTGTGTGTGCCTCCGTCATCATAGTGACTTTTTAGTGGCTACCAAAGCCCTGTGACTTAACTGCATCTGCCCCAGAGTCCTTGCACAGACCCAGTTCACAGAAGGTCACCTATATTACAAAGGCTCATCTGGATCTCCTGGCAGTTGAGTTACAGACCTGTGGGCACTGGCATTGGGTCTGGTCCTGTACAAGCAACCGTACTTAGGTGCCAAGACATTGATCTATCTCCCAGCTACATTTCGTTACCATCACCCATTCAGAAATACTTTGGGTTTTAACTCCTGTGGCTTTACGCTACGATTGTGACTCTGACCTGCGCGTGTCGCCAGGGTCTGCGGATGCAGAGCCAAGGAATACAGCACACATTTCAAAGGTAGACATGCGTGCGCAACGGTCAGGGACCTCCCGGTCGGCAGGGGGTGCTGCGGCAGTTTCCAAACGCCCGCATTGCGCAGTCATGCTCACCGCCACGACCGACGTGCCGGCTGCTGTGGATGTCCCGGAGTCTCCGAAGCCAGCGTGGGCCTGGGTGAGCCCAGGCGCGGGCAGGACGGGTGTGGGGTGGCGGGGTGGGCTTTGGGGAGCCGGCTTCATGGACCCACGCCCTCATAGAGAGACGCCCCGATCGCCACGTTGGTACGGAGGATCCAGCAGCTGCAGAATGAACGCGCGCAGGCCTTCCGCCGCCTGGACCAGTAAGCCGGGCTGGAGGATGGGGCAGGGCCTGGGAGAGCTTGCCAGAGTAGGACCTGGGGTGTCCGCTCCGGGCCGGACTGTGAAGAGTTGGCTTGGGAGTGTGCCTGACTGGCAGGGCTGGGGACGTGGCTGGAGGACCGGGTTGGAGGAGGTAGAGAGGCCACGGAGGTCTGGTCCGCGACACTAGGGAGTGGCTTGGTGCAGCCCTGAGCAGGGCGTACTCGGAGGCATCGTCTCGGGCGGGCGGGACAGAGCCCTGGGTGGGTGGCTCTGTTTTGTTTTGTTTTCTTTTTTGGTTTTTTGGAGACAGGGTTTCTCTGTATTGGAGGCTGTCCTGGAACTCACTTTGTAGACCAGGATGGCCTCGAACTCACAGAGATCCACCTGCCTCCCAAGTGCTGGGATTAAAGGCGTGCGCCACCACTGCCCGGCTGTTTTTTTTGTTTGTTTGTTTGTTTGTTTTGTTTTGTTTTTTTGGGTGGCTCTGAAAACTCAAGGGAACTCGAGTCCACCTGGAAGAGTTGGGTGGAACTGGGGGCGTGGCCGGGAGTAGCAACGTAGAGCAGAACAGGACTGGGCTTGGGAGACGCAGGGTGTGGCCCGCAGCCGGAGCACCCCCTCTTCTCGGGAATGCAGACACTGGTCACTTCTAGGCTCTCTCCAGTCTGTGGGACTCTGGTTTGGCCCCTTTGAGTTGGGTGGATTTTCAAGGGGGCTGGAGCAGAGAACGTGGTCTGTGAGTCAGGGGCGTGAGCTCAGCATCCTCCCCGCCTGCCGCAGAGCTCACCGCCAGTACCTGCTCAGTGGCCAGCACCACGACTTTCCGCGTTATCGAAGTGTCGTGCACGAGGTGACCCAGGTCTTCGCCGCTGCCTCTCGGGAAGTACTGGCAGTGGAAGCGGAACTAGCGGGGCCTCGTGCGCAGCCGGTGCTTGCTCGCCATGTGCGCAGCCTGCAGGAGCTGGAACAGACGCGCCTGACCACCGTAAGACCACCACCTCTGTCCTTCGGGGCGGGGCATGGGCCACAGCCCATTCCGGGCCACCCAACCACTTCCTCCTGCAGCTACACATCTCAGTGCATTTGGGCCCTCTCCTGTTGTCTCCTGTTTGTCTGCAATTCCCTCCCAGATTCTGTGTAATTATCCCAGCCCTCTGGAAAGTTCCCCACATCATCCCGCCCACTGTGGCTGTCTCTCTCCACCTCTGGGTTATCACAAGCTACATCCCCCACAAATACCCTCAAACACAACCTCCGAGAAGAGGGGATGCGGGCCACACCCCGCTTCTCCCAAACCACGCCCCCAGTCACGGTCTGCTCTGTTTTGCACTACCTCCGAGGTCCTTGACCCAGATCCCAAGGCTCCACCTACCCTGACCTTACAGCCAGTCCTACCCACTGGAAGCCATGCTCACATTGCTTTGTCTGGGATCCATAGTACGACCCCCAAACCCTGCCTTGATATATTTCCATCCTGGAACTATGGTGCCCTGTCCAGACTCTGGCTCTTCCAAGCTATGTCCGTATTCTGTACTGCCCTTCCACAGGAGAAAAGCAACCCACACCCCACACACACTCCGCCTTCCCTCTGCTGCTCCATCAGCTGAGAGGGCAATGTGGCTTTTGCCATGTGACTCCCGTTTTCTCCTCCAGGTGGCGCTGCTGCAGGTGATGGAGACACCAGGAGTGTCAGAACAGGAGGACCCTGAAAAGTTGCACCAGCTGAGAATAAAGTGAGCCCTGTGGGCCCCTTAGCGTGACACCTTAGATTGGCACCGCTCGGCCGCGGTTATCGCAGCGCTGAGCCACGCTGCTGCCGAGGGCACCGGTCTGCACACTGGTGTCCTAGATGTATGCTTCCCGGGATGTTGTACGAACGTGGCCACAGCCACGCTGGCTCCTGTGTGAGCCCCTGCAGTTGTACCGCAGGCCTCCAGGCACAGGCAGGCATGCACACACATCCCAACCGCTTGGTGGCAAGCACCCCTCCCCCACCACAGCCTTTCCCATGAGCCCACTGTGACCCACCAAGCCACCCCGCCTCCTGGGCATGCTCCCAGGCTGGGCTTGAGGTTTGGCGGCAGGCAGGAGGGCCCGGGGCTTGCATTGAACCCCTCCCCGCTTGCTGTGCGGCTCAGCTAATTCACCCCATCTGGGTTTTATTTATAGTTTCCATCCGCTCTTGTAGGGTAATTAAAACCATGGAGGCGATCAGCGAGGTTCTGCAGGAACTCAGGTTTGATGCCGAGTCTGCAGAGTGAGGGCGGCTCCCCGGGGACCAGAGGAAGATGGGAAAGAGGCCCATGGCGTGCAGCCCAGCCCTGACCGCCAGCTGGCTGAGGTCGTGCCCCTCCAGGCTGCCCTCCAATGTGCCTCGCAAAATAAAGAGTCCTCCCTCTGCAGCTTTCCTGTCGTCTCTGTATCTTGGGGATGGGCTCTGGCGATGGGGGGAGCGTTCCCCAGAGGAACAGGGAAAACAGGTAGACCCCCCCAAAGAGTTTAGGGCAGGTATTCTGGTGTCCTGGAGAACAGGACTGACCAGAGGTGGAGGATGTCCCAATCCCCCAGAATACATAGGCCTCAAACACAGACACCATCAGCAGGCCTGAACAGCTCATTTATTTAAAGAGACTCTTAGAGGGCCCTGGTAACCAAAGTCATCGCTCAAACCCTACCCACATTGGGAAACACCCAAGGTTGACCATCATGCTGACCATGTCTGTGGCTGTGGGAGCTCACTGCCCCAGCCCTTGTTTCTCTGGTTCCCCCGAAGTGACAGTCCACAGGGGCCCAGGTTGGGGAAAGCCTCCGGCTCTGCAAGCTGCAGGAGGATGGCTTGTCCTTATAGTTTATCCGGCAGGACCTGAGAGCAGAAAAGAGGGCACACTAAGCCCGGATCCCTCTCTGCACCTTGGTGGCCTGCACTGAAGCGCTTGCCTTGGGGCTGGTATGCAGTGGGTTCTCATACACGCTAAGTAAGCGATGAGAAGAGAGCTCCCGTTTGAGCAACCTGCAGGTGGGAAGGAGTCTACTAGACTGCTCCAGTGCCCACCCACCAGCTCCCCCTTACCTCTCGCCGTGCCCCGTCTGCCCGAGGGCAGGATCCCCTCGTCCTGTGCTTGGAAAGAAGAGTGTGATGTGTGGAGGATGCACACCTGGGTACTTCTCTCCAGATTCCGCACCCCCAGGCGAGCCTCCACTTTCCTACCTGGTTTCGAGTCTTGTGTGACTTCTGCATCCAAGCACGCCACTGGTCGTAGAGGCGGAAGCTGAGGTTCGAGCAGTATGCATGCTTCTTCAGCCAGCCGAGGAACTGCTTGAGCTCGCGCCGCACCGGGCCCGAGCTGGGCTCGCCGCCCCGCGGCTCGCACACCCCGCCGCCCGGGCCCGGGCGCTCTAAAGAGAGTGGAGCGGCAGTGTCAGAGCGCAGCCGGCAGGGGGCGCACGCGGGCGGAACCGCGGCCTCCCACACCAGACCTGCAGCAGCGAGCAAGTTGGGGAGGGTGTCAGGTGTGGGCCCCCGCGTCACCCAGTGGGATGGAGACGCCACAGCGACGGAGACGGGCAAGGAGGCTCAGGTCAGTGGGAGGCAAAACCGGGTATTCGGTCGGAAATAGAAAAAAGAGAGGGAAGGGAAACGATGGGAACCAGATCAAGAAAACAACAGGAAGGCAGAGGTCCTGGGCTGCACCCCAGTCACGGTCTTCATGCCAGCACTTGGTAGGCTGAGGCAGGATTGCTGCGAGATCAAAACCAGTTGGGGTTACCTGTAACTATCCAGAGGAGAGACAGAGACAGACACAGGGGGATGGCTCAGTTGATGAGTGCGGTCGCCACCAGCCCCGCCCTACGTGGTGGGAGGAGCCTGCTCACAAGAGTTATCCTCTGACCTTCGCGTGTCTGTGGCTCGCAGGCCCACGAAGGCACACACATAACACGAAAACAAGAAATTTTAAAAGTTGTTTAATTATACGAGAGTGTTAACAACGACAACAACAAAGGCCAGAAATTGAGTGAGACAGGCCCCAAGCACAGCCCAAGGGGGCGGATCCCCAAGATAAGCCTGAGAAAACGATCGGGTGTGACGTAGTGGGCTGGGAGGGCCAGGTGGGAGGCCAGCCCCTGGGCCCACCCCCCAGGCGCAGCCATCCTCCAGCAGGCCAGAGAATAAGGACATAGGCTTCACGTCATAAATAAAACTGGGGACTCGCTGACAGGCCCTGGCACGGCCTCGGCCCCCACAGCCCCTGCTTGCCTCCCCCCGCCTCCCGCACCCTACCCCCGGCCTCCCCAGTCTCCCGAGCGGACACAGCCGCCTCCTGGCTCCCGTGCAAGAATCGCAGGTGCTGGGCACGAGCGAGGGCCAAAGCTCCAAGGCTCTGGCCCCTCCCGACCGCGTTCACTCCCGCCCAGCCCAGAACCTGGAGGGGCCCCCGGATGGGGGCTGGAGAGCTTGCTGGGGCTGATTCTGACCCTCTCTTCCTCCAGCACTCTCCCGGGGACTCAGTTTCCCCGTTATCTCATCGTCACTAAACTGAGTGTATGTGTCTGTGTGAGTTCGGCGTTTCCGTGTCTTCATGGGAGAAAAAGCATCCTCTCCCTCTTGGGGGACCGATGAAAGGGGGTGGGGGATGGAATCCTTCTCCTCTACTACCTGAAAATACTAAGGTGGGCACTAGCCTTGGACAAACAGAGAAACCGAGGGCAGACATTTCAGACAAGGTTTCATAGAAGGGAACAGCACGCCCAGGGGTCAAAAAGTCGAAGCCAGCCTCGGGCCCTCATGAAAGAGACTCATGCCTGGCTTCCGGCCTCATGGGACTCATGCCTGGCTTCTGAGCACTCAGGAGGCTGAAGCAAGAAGATTCCAAATACTGAGGCAGTCAAGACTACCTTATGTCAAGGATGGGCGGGGTGGCTCAGTAGTGGAGACTCCCACGTGACAGGCACATGGCACCGAGTTCCATCAGCGTGGGACAAAAGGCGCTACCCTCTGCTGTAGGGCCACGCAGGGCCTGGCTGTAACGTTCTATAAAGGACTTCAGAGACTCCGGGGTGTTTGGGTGAAACAGCCTGTTTTCAGTTTTGCTACAGTAGATCACACTCTTGTTCATCCCTCACCAACTGACAGGCTAAACAGAATCCCGAGCCAGAAGTGTGACATGGTTTAGTCTCACCAATGTGGTGGTGGTGGTCATCATCCCAGTACTCTGTCTGGAAGCAGAGACAGGAGGACCAGGAGTTCGAGGTCCCCCTTGGCTACAAGGTGAGTTCAAGACCAGCCTGGGCTACCTGAGACCCTGTATCAAAAAAAGGAAGGAAAGAAGAAAGGAAGGAAGGAAGAGGAAAAAAGACATGCTGGATTGGGGTTCCTGCAGGGCAAGCCCTGGAGGGTGCTCACCACTTCGAGGGGTGGAGGCAGCTGTGGGGTGGCTCCACTCGCTCCAGATTCCCGCCTTTTTCGACCCGTAGATCCCGAATGGGTTACAACGCACTTGGACAAAGTATACAGTACCGGGCTTCAGGCCCGCAAGGCGGCAGGAGGTCTGGTTGCTGACATCATCCACCACCTGCACGGTGAGGGAGGAGTCAGATGCGGGGGGCGGGGTCAGGGGCGGGCCCGGGGCGGGACGGGCACCTTCCAGTCCACGCTGTCCTCCACGCGGTAGCGGATCTGGTACTTGGCTTGGAAGAGGAAGTCCTTGAGGGCAGGTGGTGAAACCCAGCGGACGCTCAGCTGGTCCTCTAGGCCCCCAACACGGCTCACATGCACATCGGGTGGGGGGTCCGTGGTCACTGGAGGTGGAGCAGGCCTGGTCACTGGAGATGTTTTTTGTTGTTTCTGAGAAAAGGCCTCACTATCCTGGCTGACCTGGAGCTCGCTATATGTATCAGGCTAGCCTCGAACTCAGAGATCCTTCTGCCTCTGCCTCCCCAAATGCTGGAATTAAAGGCATGCAACTGGTTCCAGCCCTGAGGACTATGCTTGGTGAGAGTGTCTAGAGACAGATCCTCCCAGTGCTGTGACCCAGGCTGCCGTGCTCCTGGATCACAGGTCTACCCGGCCTGAGAGGCCACTGTCATTTACTGTTCCAGAAACAGCCAGCAGCAGTTAATGTGACTGTCTCTGAAGGAAGACATACACAGTCCTGCCCTCGGGGCACAGGGCAGCAACCTGGCCAGCTGCGGCTGCGAGCACCTGTGAGCATCACCTGTAAGGACGTTAGTTCCATTGTGGGTACCACGTCAGTAGCTGACTGCTAGAGCTACTGTCTGTGTTTTGAGTTCGGGTCTTATGAAGCCCAGGCTGACCTTCCTCCTGGGCCTCCTGAACTCCCGGATGACAGGTGTTATCATATTTCTCCCCACCCTGGTGAGCTAGTTGACTCCATCCCTAGGTACCCCATGTCATGCCCACTTCTGCTGCCCTGCGAATTACCAAGAGCTTCAGTGGGGCAGCTCTGCCAGCCACAGGGCACAACCGAGGATTAGATGGCACTTCAGGATGCCAAGAGGAGACAAGCAGTGGGGGGGAGGGGAGGGATAAGCCAGGAGCACCCAGGAACCCTTCTGGGGGACCATGGAGAGAATATGAGCTGATCTCTCCTGGAGTCCTCAGCGAGGCCCTGAAAGGGTTAAACGGCCCAGGCTGCTCTGGGCTGGGAACACCCTAATTAGATTAGGCCCAGTTCTGCTCAGGGACCATTCACTTCCTGCCTCCCACCCTCACCCCCCAGCTCCCGGCCTCAGCTTCCTGGGGCGCCTCCGACCTGGGCGCCCTTTCCTGGATCCCCCAGGACTCCCTCCTGAACACCTGGGCTGCTGAGAGGGAGGGTAATCAGGCCAGGTGTTTTCTACAGAGTGGGGGGATCTTGCCTGTCTTGGGGGGAAGGTCTTTGCCTTGAGTTGTGGACACCCACAGCCCTGCGACTACCCTGGCTGCCGGTCAGACCCCTAGAAGACTCAGCAGTCTCAGGGGAACGCCCTTCTTGGGCCTGGGTCAGAAAACCAGGTGGACGACACCGGGGGCTCACCCACGTCCAGGACGTCCAGTGTGAGCACGTCAGATCGAGCTGAGCCCAGGCGATTGGTGGCTTCCACCCAGATCTCATAGGGAGTGAAGAGGGCCAGGTCTTTGGGGATGTGGCAGGAATGAGGACCCACAGTGTGGTATTCCTCACATGTGTTGTCCTGACCATACCACCTGTGGAGGCGGGAGAGTCCCTTTTTAGTCTTTAGTCCTGATTTCTTCAGCCTCGGGGGTTTAACAGGAGCATGTTTGATCAGAGAAGACAAGTATCTGCCTGAAGTCACACAGCAAGGCTGGGCTGGGCACTAACCTCAGCTTGTACTTGAGAGAATAGTTGGTGTGTAAGAATGTCTCCCCACGTGTGCCCGGTGTCCAGCGGCAGGTGAGATCCTTCATGTTCCGAGACCAGCAGCTGATGTTGAAGGGTTTCTCAGGGGGGACTGTGAGAAAGGGTGACAGAGCTTTTCAAAGCAGCTGGGTACACACTGAAGAGTGGAGTCCCGGCTGTCCCCAGAGCTGTCCTGGGTGTGACCAAGCCTACACGCAATCTCATTGCTAACCCAGTCTGCCTGTGGCTCCGCCCCACAAGAGAGGACCCATGCTCTACTCTCCAAAATTGTCATTGCTCCCCAAGACCTGTCCCTGGGTTTCCCACTTACGGCCAACATAGAGGCAGGAACCAGCCAGAATGCTGCCATCCTGGGCGTGACACACTAGGTTGTCCCCTGACTGCTGCCTGGACCCATTGAGGTTGGCCAGGGCCAGGGCCAGGGTAGAGGTGTTAAGTAGGTGGGACAGCTCGGAGGGCAGGCGGCGCCCATTGAGGGTCCAGTAGAGACCCTCAGCGGTGGCCCCAGGTGTGTCTCCGTGTATAGAGCAGGTAGCTTGCAGGGAAGAGCCGATGAGGAGAGTGGGGTCCTGGGGGCTGATCACAGCTGTGTCTAGTGTCAAAGAAAGACACCTGTCAGGCATGGGCTGCACCCACCTCAAGCCCCTCATCCTACAGAGCATCCCCGATCAGGAAGTCTCGAGGAGGTGCTAATAGTCACCCACTTTACAGATAAACAGAAGCAACGAGGCCTAAATGTCAACTCTGAGATGCCCTCCACAGCCCAGCACCTTGCCAGTCCCAGGCTGATTGCCCATCGCTGCAGCTCTTGGAGGTGGAGGCAGGGGAATCAGAAATGCAAGATAACTCTTGGGTGCCCACTAGAGCTACAGGAGACCCTATCCCAAAACTCAACCCATTAATCAATGAGGGGCCAGTGAAATAATTCAGCGGATAGAGGTGATTGCTGCTAAGCCTGAGGACCTGAGCTTGAACCTAGGACTTACGTTGTAGAGGGAAGAGAACCAACTCCTACAAGTTGTCCTCTGACTTTTACATGCTATGACATACATGTGTATACATAAGAACAAAATAATTTGGTTCTTTTGCTGAGAGGGTAAGGAGAGCAGGGTCTCACTGTGTATCCTTGGCTGGTCTGAACCTGGAACTCACTACATAGAGCAGGCTGGCCTCCAACTCACAAACATCTGTCTGCCTCTGCCTCCCAAGTGCTAAGATAAAAAGTGTGTAGTTCCACAGAGTGGTGGCAGTGCACACCTTTAATCCCAGCACTCAGGAGGCAGAGGCAGGCAGATCTCTGAGTTTGCTAGCCTGGTCTACAAGCAAGCTCCAGGACAGTCAAGGCTACACAGAGAAACCCTGTCTTGAAAAAACCCAAATTAAAAAAAAAAAGGAAAAGAAGTATACTTCCAGGACACCAAAACATCAAAAGATAATTTTTTGAAAAGTTAAGTCATAAATGCCTACCCAGATCTAAGTAAGTACTTTCTATTAATTTACTACAGCTCCCTGTGTGCTCCATAGAGCACTGTAGACGTTAGTGCTGGGGGGCTGTCCACTCCTTCCCCCTGGAGGTCCCAGGGGTGGAGCTCATGTCAGGAGGCAGATGCCTTTAACCTCTGCGCAATCTCACCAGCCCATAGGATTTTTTCCTCCTTTCTTCTGTCTTTGAGAGGCAGGGTCTCACTATGCACACTAGGCTGTTTTCAAACTTGCCATCCCCATCTTCCTCCTGCCTCAGCCTCCTGAGCTCTGGGGTCACACATGAACACTCCTGAGATCTGGGATCACACATGAACACTCCTGAGCTCTGGGGTCACACATGAACACTCCTGAGCTCTGGGATCACACATGAGCACCCAGGCTCTGCCTGGCTCACCAACTCCCTTCCTCCCCTCCTTTCTCCAAGCCCCTTCCCTCACATCTAGGCAGGAAAGCTCCAACCTGGCACGTCTGTCAACCTAGTTCACGAGACAAGGTATGGGATGACAGATTTAATGCTAGCCTGGGCTAGCTCCTGTCACGGGAGGGGGAGGTGAATCGTGCTGGATGAACCTTGAAGGGTAAGCCGAAGGGACTGAGCCTTTCTTTTCACAGCGTGCCTGCCTGAGGTCCCAGCACACACGCCGAGACTGCAAACCCAAGCCCCTGTGTTCTGGACCACGAGCGAAGGGACCACCACAGAGGCACACAGAGGCCTCCACAACTCTGCCCCTCGTCACCAGAGCCAGCCCACCCAATCCCAAGCACCCTCCTCACTTTCCTGTAGTCTTAATTCACAAGGCAGAAGGAAGACCCACGCCCCAGGGCCACTGTGATGCTACTTAGGAGGTGACCAACCCTGGAGCCTCCAGTCTCTCTGCCTGTCTGCCCTCCCTTAGGGCCACCCACAGCTGCTCTACTCATAGCTGGGACCTCAGTGGGAACAGCAAGGCCTTGGGAAGGACGGGGACATATTACAACCCCTCTGAGTCAGTTTCGTCACCTGGCCTGTGGCCATCCTGATAACAGCCATGCAGGATGCTGGGAGGTGTGTGTGGAGTTTCACAGGAGCCTTCCAGAGGCTGGTAAGTCAGGCTGTCCATGGGTTCAAGTGTTCCCAGCTTCTCAGGAAACCTAACTCAATTCACTTCTCTGAGACCTCTTCTTCACTCAGGATAGAAAGACTCAAGTTTCATTCATTCATTCAAAGTCTATAGTATGACAGAACTGAGGTCACCATGGGAATAAATGCACAATAAGGGCGGGGTGTTGGTGGGTCCCGCCTTTAATTCCAACACTCAGGAGGCAGAGACAGATGGATCTCTGTGAGTTCGAGGCCAGCCTGGTCTATAGAGTTAATTCCAGGACAGCCAGGGTGGTTATGCAGAGAAACCCTGTCTTGAAGGAAAAAAAAAAAAAAAAAAAGACAATCAAATGCTTGTCTTTGCTGGGTATGGTGGCTGCATCACACCAACACTGGAGGGGCAGAGGCAGGCAGATCTGAGTTTGAGGCCAGTCTGGTCTACAGAGCAAGTTCTGGGACAGCCAGGGCTGCACAGAGAAATCCTGTCTTGAACACCACCCCACGCAAAATAATAATGCCACAGAAACAAAAGAGATGAAGGAGGAAGAGAAAAACCGAGAGTGAGTTGGGGCTGTAGCCTTATGAGCAAGAGGCAGAGGCGGATGAGTCGGAGCCACAGTTGGCACGGAGGCTGCCTGTGCAAAGGCCCTGGGGCAGAAGCGAGGGGAAGGTTAGGAAAGGCTGCGGGGCTCTCAACGTTTAGGAAGGAAAACTGACTCCTGGTTTGGGCGGTGGCTGGGAGAACAGGGATTGCAGGAGCACCATCACTACGCCACCCTCAGGCTCCCAGTAAGCTAAACTGCAGCCCTGGACGGTCCCTCATGCCCCAGATGCGTGAGGTGGCACCGACATGCTTCTGGGCCCGGCTCTGCACGATTTCTCAAGGGCAAACTTGGTCTTGGGAGGAGGCGGTCTTGCTGGAGCCTGCAATCGCAGTTGCATTTGGGGCTTGGCCCAGGGCTCTGCGGAGGTCTAGGCATCCGTGCGAAGGAGCCGGTGGAGTAGGCCAGGGCGGAGGAGGCGGGGGCCAGGGGGCCCGCCCCGGAGGTCCCAGGCAGTCAGCCGCCCGCTAATTCAGAATTCCTTCGGCATGAACTGGGGCGTGCCAACGTCTCTACCCAGGCCCACCCACCGCTTCCTGCCTGGGCGCCCCCCTCAACAGGGTGGGAGGCACTGTCCGGCCCCGGTACCCCACTGTCTGCACTCCTGGGTGATGCTCACACCCCTCTATTCCTCCTAGGCCTTCGTCTGGCCAGGAAGGGGACTCTCTGGGGGGTCCTGGCGGGGTACTGCCCTTTTACCACACCCGCCTGGCCTGGATTCGCCGGCAGCTGCAGCTGCCCTTCGGGGCTCGCGGGGGGGGGGGCGCTAGGGTTGAGCAAGGCCAAGCCCGCCTGGACAGGACTGCCCAAGCTTTCTCCGCAGGGCAACAGGGTGCAGCCCCGCCTCAGCAGTACTCAGTACACCTGGCACCCTCTGCCGGATTCCAAGACGGTCTCCTGGGTGGGAACGGGCGAAGCCCAGGCCCGGCACCCTGGAGCACCAAGGCAAGAGGACTCCGGCCTCCTTCTCGGCTTCCGCGAACAATGGGCCAAGGACACTGGGGACTGGGGCGCACACATGTCAAACTTGGCAGGGAAGCAGCTGAGAGCAGCCCCTAACCCCGGAGAGGGAGACACCCTCCTCCTCCTCCCCTCCTCCTCACAGAGTGGGGCCTAAACAAGCCACTTTCCCCTTCCCCAATGCGGAGTTGCTGCCGTTATTAAAAAGAACACCATGTGTTTTAAAAGGAAAAAGTGTGAGCTTCCCTGAAAGGCCAGCGGGAAGGTGGCCTCCATCCCAGCCATCCCCCAGGGGTCGCCATCTCCTGTCCCGCTGGTACCTGCACACTTTTACGACCTGCGGCTGGCCGGTCAGGTGCTAAGGCACACCACACCGTAAGTACAAACAGATTGCAGAGGTGTGAGAACCTCATTTAATTTCTCTTCCCCTTAAAGGAAAAACACACCGCCACCCCCACCCTGCCACCCTTGCCGTTGCTCTGCAGCTCGCCCGGAAACCAAGCTTGGCGCTACTGGTGGCATTCAAAGACTACCTGCAGCCTGGCAGAGGGACCCTAGAAAGGCTCCAGGTTGTCACCCCATCACCTGCCCAGACGCCCTGGGCAAGCTGGAGTGTGGGTCCATTTCTGGAGAGGGGTGTCCACAGCCAAACAACACAGGCTACTAGCCCCAAAGCAGCAACGCAGCGTGGTGCCCCAGAGGTGTGGCCTGTGTCCTCAGATGGGGTACAGAGAGTAGAAAAGTCCTCCAGCGTACTCAGCCAAATGCGTGCCCCGGTGTTGCCTCCACTGTGGAATGAATGTGGGACCGTGCGTGCGTGCGTGCGTGCGTGTGTGTGTGTGTGTGTGTGTGTCGAGGTTGGAATGCAAGCGCCGCGATGGTGTGCGAATACGCATCTGGGCTGCAGCGCGCGTCGGAGGGCAGGGTGACGGGACACAAGCCAGCGGGGCTCTTTTGTGTGTCTCTGGGTGTGTCCCAGAGAGGGTCTGGATGTGGAGAACGTATCCTGGCGGAGTGTGTGCGTTGGGTGATGGGGCCCAAGGCCAGGAGTTCCTCCAGCGACAGTGGGGTTCTCTCGGCAGCTGATCCCCACTGGGTACCCCTTACACAATGAAGTCTGGGCCCGCGGTGCCCGGACACGCTGGCTCTCGCTCCTTTTCACTGAGATTTCGGTAGCTGCAGGCTTTCAACCCGGCGCAGCCTGAATGAGACTGGTTGTAAGCCCCATTGATGGAGGGGACTTCGAGGGTCCCAAAGCGTGGGGTTCGTTGCAGGGGGGAGGGGGCGGCGCCGGCCCCGCGGAGAGGCACGTCCCGGGGGACAACCCCCCCAGGCCGCACGCTAGGCGGTCAGAACAGGGGGGCCGATACCGCCCCACCCTCGCCGCGGGGCTCATCACTTCATGGGGGAGGGGACCCCACTCCGTGCCAGCACCCAACCCAATGCACCCAAGCGTGCGTCCCCGGCCCGGGAGGCGTCCCTTCCGCTCTGTGATCCAGGACGCAGACGTGTGCGCCCCGAGGCGTCCCAGCACCCTGAAGAGGATTCCCGGGCAATACGGTGTCCCTCAAAACCAGCTTGGCCGGACGGCCTCGCAAAGGCGACCCAGGTAAGAAGGCCTCGGGCACATAACCGGGTATCCCTAGGCCGCAGGGTAGTGGAACCGTGCGCCCCGCAGGTGAGGGCGCCCCGAGGGCTGCCTTCCTTTGTTCCGGGACGGTCCAGGTGGCGCTCGCGCCCCCTCTTCCCTCCCCCGCGGCTGCCCCCCGGGGCGCCCGATCCTGGTCTCCCTGGGGAGGTGGGTAGCAAAGCGCACGGTACTCACGGGCTCCCGATCCTCCCCGAGGCACCCCGAGAACACAGAGCAACAGAGGCGACCACAGCGAGGACAGCGGCCTCGGCGGCCGCCGCGCGGATTGGGCGGCGGGGCCCGGGCGACCGGCGGGCATGGGGGTGGCGCGCAGCGAGCGGTGACTGCAACGCAGGGATGGGGCCGGGGCGACTCTGCGGGGTGCAGATTGAGGTTTGGGGCTGCCCGCACGTCGCTGGGCGCGGACTGCGAAGGCCAGAGCAAGTCTGAGCAGCCGAAATTGACAAGGCGCTAATGCGCCGCTCGCCCCGCCCGGCCCCGCCCCCGGCCCGGCCCCTGGGGGGGGAATCGCGGGCCCCGCACTGGCCTTCCCACCCCCCGCGGGCACCGCGCGCCCCACCCGGCCGGCCTCCGCCCCAACACCACCTCGGAGCACCCCATCTTCCGTCGCGAAGCCCCCACTCCTTCTCCACCCGCCCATGGGACCTCCCTCTCCGGCCCCGCCCGTTCCAGGCTTCCCACCGCGTCATCTGGGACCCTGTGCCCCTAACTCCGCATCGGTCCCTGACTCGCAGCCCTGGTGCCTTTGCATGTCTCCCAATCTACCAAAATTCTTCCTCCCCGACTTCCCCGCCCCATCCCTCTTACGGGGCCCCCATACCCTCTAGGGCTCGTGCCCCCCTCACACACCGAGCAGTCCCTGAACCCGTCCATCCTCCCCTTCAGTTCCTCTTCCTTCCACACAGGCTTTGCAAGTTGCCTCCGAGTCCCACGCCCTGGGCGCACGGGTCCCACCGGTCCCCACCCGAAGTCTTCATTCCGTCTCCCATCCTCCGTGCGCAGCCTCGGAACGTACAGGAAAAAAAATAAAGGAAGGCAACAAGTCCCCAGCTTCCCGTCCCACTTCGCCCGTCCTCTGCGCCTGCTGGGTTTGGGGATGTCCGGTAGCATGCATAGGGAATCCCTATGCGTGGGCACAAGGGAGAGGTGTTCCCTTGGGGAATGGGGACCGAACCCCGCATTCCTAGTTCCAGAAGGACATCGGTGCTAAGGAGTTCTTCCTAGCCTTCTTCACATCCCCCCACGGAAAAATCCTCTCAGCGGCCCGCGGGTGGGGTGCGCCACGCGGTGAGTAATCGCTACAACGGCCGCCGCCCGCCAACTTCAGGTAACGCGGGCAGCCCCGAGCAACGCATAGTTACCTCCGACTGAGCGCCGAGTTCTCTCTCTGGGTTATTTTTGTTGGCCACTCTTTGGGGTTTAGGGACCCCTCCCGGGCCAGCCCAACCCTGGCGTCTCATCTCCTTCATTCATCTCGTCTCCACCCTATCCGGATGCCCACGAAGAGAAGGGTGTGCCTGCAAGGTCTCTGTGGGAAGGTGGCGCTTGAAATCGAGTTCCCGGGTGGTCTCACTCCACAGGCTTGGTGACAGCCCCCAGCCACAGCTCCCCGAAAGTAAAGGGCTCAACTCTGCCCATCCAGCGATTTCCTTGGAGGCACAGCTCCTTCCTTAAAGGTGCCCCATACAGCCTCAGATGACAAAGGAGGTACATAAGTCACTGTCATTTTTCTGGGGGCAAACCAGGCCTCGTGTATCTCAGTTCTTTTGCACAGTGGATAATTTGGGGACAGCTATGAGTTTTACATTGGAAGAATCAAACACGGACAGGAGAAATGTCCAAAACAAACAAACAAACCTTAACTCTGATGAGCATAGTGGGGTGCAGAAGTGGCCCACTGGCCTGCTGGTCCTCTCTGAGAAATGTGGCCAGGTGGCCTACAGGGTTATGTGGAGGTAGTGGGTCTTGGCCACATTTCCAGGATCATCGCCATGGCTCCCCCCAACCCCCTCCCCAACCTCGGCTTCAGGGAGGCTTTGGGAGCAAAGAACTTTTATTTTTTCCTGAATACTCCTCCTCCCTCGTCCCGGATGAAAAGTCCTAGCTTCCCCCATGTGCCCAGGTGCTGCAGCCAGCGACCTGGGACTTGCGTGACTGAGCGCTTTTCCCTCTTCCCACGCGGACAATCCATCAGCAATCCGGTTGGCCCCGGTTCCAAAACACACCTCCATTCTGAGATTCTGAGCCCCCTCCCCAATCCTGGTCCAGGCCTTTCCTCCTCCCTGGGATGCTGGGAGGACCTCCCTCCTGTCTTTGTTTTAACCACAGGCAGAGGGAACCCTGAGAGGAGGAGACCCAGCTCGACCCTGACACCGATCCAGCACCAGCTGCCCCTCTCCAGCCCGCTGGCTGTTTGGGCAAATGTCTGGCGCGTTGGGTGTGACTTCGGCAAGACCTCTGTAAGCCTTCCATCATGGGTGACTATTTTGAGTCCCCACTTACTGTCTTTGTAACATAGGCCACCATCTGCTTTAGGGTCACTTAGCTTTTTGAGTCTTGAATACCTGAAGGCCCCAGACCCCATGCTGGGCCCAGTGAGGTCCAGGAAAGTTCAATAAAATACAATTTAAAAAAATCATAAAAGAACCCTGTCCCTCCAAGTAGCCAGAAAAGAGCCCCAGCAAGTGAGGTGACACAGTTTCAGAGTAGGCCAAACATTCCACTTTGCTGTGTGACCCAAACTGGCACACATCCCTCTCTGGTCTTTGACCTCTGCCCTCTGGATGACCTTTACCCTTTGGGCCAAGGCAGTATGAGACCTCATGCTCCCACGGAATTAACTGTTTCCTCCCCAGCACAGCTCTCTGCTCAGGAAAGGAAGGCAGACTGGTGAACCTCCTGACAAATATTGACCCAGTCATTGAAGGCGACTAGGAATGTAAGAGGGGGCGGCTGGAAGGGCTCTTCACCCAGGGTCTCCTGTGGAGGAGCAAGGCAGGTGTAAATCAGGGTGACTCCTCCAGCCTTGGGTTCCCAGATGAAAACCACTCAACGATTTGGGGGACTCTGAGTAACAGAACCTGCCTGAGGGGGGCAGGGCTGCGACCCATGCCCTGTGACCCGACCATCCCTCCAGGGTCACCGCCCCTCCAGCCTGTACCTGGGGTGCGCTGGGTAATGGGGTACTGAAGGTCTGATTGTCTGGTTTGGGGCCTGTGGATACCCCAGGCTTCCTCTCCACCCCGGTGCCTCAGTGTAAACACTGGGGATGCTACACCTCAATTTTATTGTGTGTGCTGCAACTTACGTCCTAGAGATGGATGTGAGGAGGTCCCAGCCCGGGAGCTCTGGGCCACCACGCCTGGGGTCCTTGTCCTCTACACCCAGGACGGTCAGCTGTTTGGGGGCGCATCGCACCCCCTCCTTCCGTAGCTTCCCCAAGTCAGCAAGCCGCGGCGCCACCCAGCCTCGTCGGGCTTGACTCGGCCTGGGGGTGGGGGTCAGTAGTGTCGTGCAGAGGGCGGCCAGGGACAAAGGGCGCTTGTCTGCGGCACGCCCTGACCCGGGTAGCTGCTTCCCGGACGCCGGAGTACGCTGATTCACGCGGACAGCGCCCCCCGCCCCCGGCCTCGCCGCCCCGGGGGGTAGGAAGTAGGGGGGGTGCGGGGCGGCGGCGAGTTAACTTTCCCTCTTAAGCCCCGAAGGAATGTCGGCGGATTTCCTGAAATCCGACCCCGGCCGCCCGCCGGCCGCCCGCCCCTCACCTGGACCAGCTCCCCCGGGAACGCCAGGAGGGGCGGCCGGGCTCACCTGGGGGGCCGGGGTCAAGTCCTCTTCCGCTTCCCCCCAGCGGCCTCGAGGAGCCGAAAGGGGGGGCTGGAACCAACAAATACTACTTTCAGCCCAGGGGCGCTCCGAACTGCGACCTAACCCTTCGTGCCTCAGTTTCTCCATTTACAAAAAGTACGGGATGTTCTTTTGCACGATTACCGACGCCCCCTCCCCACACACAAGGTCTCATGTAGCCCAAGTTGGCCTCAGATTTTTGGTCATCCTCCTGCCTCAGCCTTCCGCTTTGAGACTGCCAGGCCCGGCTCTTAAGCCCCCTTCTCTCCACATTGGCAGCCTCTCCCCTGTATCCTGTCACCGAGGCCCATCCCTTGTGCCTTTCCAAGTCCCGATGACCTAATTTGGAAGGGGGCAGCCCTACCCTATAGGGTGTTTGCAAGGAAAAGAAAAGAGTCGTGGCAAGAAGATCTTTGTTGAAAGCAGTGTTTGTTTGAAATGAATGAAGGACCGTAATTGCGGAAGGGTTAAGTGCCCGGGACTCTGCAAATGACAAGTGTGAACTTGAATTCCGGCTCTGCCCAGGCGTCCGGATGCCAGCTTTCCCACCTGTAAATGGGGAAACACACTTTGTGTTTTGTTTATTGAGCTAGGGTCTCACTCTGTGGCCAGGCCGACTTAGAACTCACTTTGGTGCGACCTCGCAGCGATCCTCCTGCCTCAGCCTTTCCGCGTGCCAGGCGTACAGCTTGGGGGGCTAGCTGGGGTCCCCGCGCGCAGGACTGCCCGGGGTGCGGTGCTGGGAGGGAGGCCCAGCCCGGGAGGGGCGGGGGAGAGGCCGCGCCGGGATCCAGATGTTCAGGTCCTCCAGGCACAGCCGCGCCTGATTAAGCCACGTGGGGGCCGGCCGGGGCTGCCGAGATGAAAGCGAGCGGCCGGCGGGGACCCGGGCGCGCCAGCCCCTCCTCCCGGCCGGAACCTGCGGCTCCGTGTGACCCGACGACCCTACAAGCGGCCTCCTCGTCTGCTGGGGCGCAGCGACGGGGCTCGCGGGCCGACGGCACCTGTGCCAGCGAGGCCAGTGGGGCTTATAGCCCCCGCCTCGGCTCCTGGAGAGGGAGAGCTGGGGAGACCTCCCAATCCAAGACGGAGGCCTCAGTGTCCCTGTTTGCCTCGATTCCCATCAGACTGGAAGAGTGAGTGACCCAGAGGCCTTGCTCACTGGGGTGGGGGTCTCCGAGTCGCAGGGAGACGCTAGTTTCTCTCAAGTCGGCACAGCGCTGGAATGGAGGGAGGCCACCCTAGTGTTGAGCCCTGAAGGTCACCGAGGACTTCCTGGAGGAGGCAGCTGCCCAGAAGGTATCTCCCTACGAGTGTCCCCGAAGCAGGCCGACTGTGGCTCGTGGTCCGCTGGGTTCCGCGCCTCCTGGGCTTAAATCCACTCTGGCTCCGGCCCTATGGTGGTCCTGTGTCCCCCCTCGCGCCCCCTGCTCACTTCCTTCCCTCCATTCGAAGTCTTTGCCTCACCCCTCCTCCTCCTGGTCCTCAACCACCTCATGGTCCCCTCCTCCCCCACTGTCTTCCTTCGCTCCTTCCATCTCCCCCTCTCCCCTCCCCCATCTTCCAGTCCCGTCTCCTTATCCCACCCCATCTTCCCAGGCCGAAGCCTTCATCCTTCTGGTCCCCTCTCTCCTCCCTTCACCTCCTCCATCCATCTGCTCCCCCCTTATTTAATTCCGTGATTAAGGATCCTGTCTGTTCCCTGGCCTGGTCGTTCTTGGCCTCCATCCCTGGGTTGCCCGAGTGTCACCCTGTCTGGCCAGGCCCTCCTTAAAGTCCCTGCCCGACAGGTCCAAGTCCAGGCAGAGACGCCCGGTCAGGAGCATCAAGGTGGCCCAGACCAGGGTGGGGATTCACCTGCCCGCCCCGCTCGCCGCAGCCCCCCCGCTTCCCAGGCTGCCTCGCTCAGTGACGTCAACGCCGAGTCCCGCATCCCGTCACCCGCACTCGGGGCCCGCGCTGCGCACGCTCGGCCATGGCTGCGGTAGCGTTGCCGCTCCTGTTGCTGCTGTTGGCCTCGCCGGCTGCCCCCGCGCCAGCGCGCGACCCCTTCGCCCCGCAGCTCGGGGACACGCAGAGATGCCAGCAGCGGTGTCGCCAGCGCCACCCTGGCCCGCCACCGGTTCAGGTAAGAGACGTGTGCCCGGGAATTCGGCCCCTGGAGACGGGGAGTGGCGTGAGTGGCGGACCCTCGCGAGGGGGAGGGGATGCGAGTCCTTGGTATGCTGGAGGCTGGGGTCCCTGGGAGGGGGAGGGGTCTGGATGGGGAAACCTCCGGTGTGGGAGAGGTCCTTGCAAGGAGGAGAGACCTGAGATGGGGGCTCCTTAAGTAGGGGAGGGATGCGAGAACCTTGGATAGGAGCCAGATAGTCCCTAGAAGTGGTAAGCAGTGTAGATGCAGGCTCTTCAGGAGGGGGAGGAGGTGGGGGTGCCTGCAATGAGGGTGGCTTGAAGGGGGAGGGGTGTCTCAGAACTGTCCTTCCGGGGAGAGCTCAATTGACACCTAGTGTGTTTGTGTAGGGGTGATATGCCAAAGGGAGGCTGAGATCTCCTCCTAGGAAGCACCCCTCCCGCGGTGTGCAAGGATTAGTGGGTGTCCCATCCTCTGTCACCCCTTCTCTCCTTTCTGCCCCAATCTGTCCCCAAAACTACAATTCTTGGTATCTGAGAAGCCCTCCCTGTCAGCCTCCACTCTGGGGGCTTCTGGGGTCCTCTCCTCCCTCCAGCCTCCACCCTGGGGCTTCTGGGGTCCTCTCCTTCCTTTCAGCCTCCACCCTGGCGGCTTCTGGGGTCCTCTCCTTCCTTTCAGCCTCCACCCTGGCGGCTTCTGGGGTCCTCTCCTTCCTTTCAGCCTCCACCCTGGGGGCTTCTGGGGTCCTCTCCTTCCTTTCAGCCTCCACCCTGGGGGCTTCTGGGGTCCTCTCCTTCCTTTCAGCCTCCACCCTGGCGGCTTCTGGGGTCCTCTCCTTCCTTTCAGCCTCCACCCTGGCGGCTTCTGGGGTCCTCTCCTTCCTTTCAGCCTCCACCCTGGCGGCTTCTGGGGTCCTCTCCTTCCTTTCAGCCTCCACCCTGGCGGCTTCTGGGGTCCTCTCCTTCCTTTCAGCCTCCACCCTGGCGGCTTCTGGGGTCCTCTCCTTCCTTTCAGCCTCCACCCTGGGGGCTTCTGGGGTCCTCTCCTACCAGGACCTTCACTATCCAGTCTGCTTAGAAAGCCGATTTCTGTTTCTCAGAGACCTCCTCCTCCGCATGACAACCCTACCTCCCCACAACCTCTCTTCAGTCTCTTGGACTATTAGGAGACCCCAGCCTTCTTCCCTAAGGCCCTTTGCTTGAGTCCCTGTCTCCCTTCCCAGCCTGAGGCAGAGGGCCCCTCTAATAACAAGGCAGTCCTCATCAGTGCTTGTGAGCGCGGCTGTCGGCTGTTCTCCATCTGCCGATTCGTGGCCAGGAGCTCTAGGACCAATGCCACAGAGACGGAATGCGAAGCAGGTGAGTCCTCCCGGGCTGGGTGCTCCTGGACTGTGGCAGAGGTACCCTGGGAAGTGGCCCCAGTGACGCCATCTTTTGGCCCACAGCCTGCACTGAGGCTTATGTGAAGGCAGCAGAGCAACGGGCCTGCAGTGAGGGATGCTGGGGCCACACCCCTGAACCTAAGACCCAGCTGGGACAGCAGGTGAGCCCCGACATCAGATAGGATGGTGCGGCTCCTTCCCTTGAGGGCCTCAGAACGCCCAGCTAACCCACTGGAAGGCAGGGGTCTCTGCTGGACGTTGAACTTTTACTCCCAAACAATTAGTGTAATTGCGCTTGGTCCAGAGGCATGGGTCTGTTGACATTTCTGCCTTGGGTCTCCCTTTTCCAGAAAATGGCTTTGGAACCACCCAGCGGGTCTCTGTCCCTGCTGGAATTATTTTCCACACTCTGCAGCGACCTCATGAGTTCTGCCCAGGGCTTCGTGTCCTCCACGTGGACATACTCCCTTCAAACAGACAACCGGAAGGTGGTGGTGTTCCAGGTGAGACCGTTGTGACAGGGCGAACCGTCCAGTAGTCACCTCCTGGTGACACCTAGGAAATCTGTTCTCACCATCGTGTTCATGTAGGTTCCATCGACAGAACCCTGCTGTCAGGGTTGGCGGCAGCACCTGTATTCATTGGGCATCTTACCTGCCCTGCTTTTGGGTTTTACCTGAGTTTACTGTGGTTCCCGCTGGTTGGGTCACATGACCGTCTTAGCTAGTCAACAATTCTGTGTCCTTGGCCTGGGCATCTTTATATCCCTGGAGGTTATCAGAGAGCTTAAGGCCCATGGGACTGTGTTCTCCTACCTGACCCCAAGCAAGTATAGGGCCACCTGGACAGGGAACTCCAGCCCAGTTGGGTCTGAGATGCACCTGCTGGGACTCAAATGCGTGTCTCTCTGTGACATCTCATTCCCTGCTCAGACCCAGCCTGTGGTAGAGAGCTTTGCAGTCCAAGGGAGCCGACTGCAGCGAGTGGAGGTGACCTGGAGGGGGTCCCGCCCGGAGGCCCTGGAGGTGCACATGGGTAAGACTGCGGCAGCTCCGTGACTAGTCCCTTGGGCTCCACAGTGTCCCAGGGTTCCTAGTCAATCTCCAGGCTCTGTAGTTCGTCTCCCAGGGTCCCTCACAACTCCTCTCCAGCCCTGTACATCCTCTTGCCCAAGTCCTGGCCTCCCTTCCCACTCCTTACCAGGTGAGCTGAGTGGCCCCTCCCTTTCTAGACCCCCTAGGCCCTTTGGACACCATGAGGGGAGCTAAGACCCGAGTGAAGACCAGCAAGGCCAGGGTGGAGCCTGAGGACCAGCAGGAGAATGACTTCTTCAGCTGCATGGCCCGGTGGGTGCCTGTGGATGGGGCAGGGCTGGGCTGGGTGTGACCACACGAGGTGTCACAGCTGAGCAATGCCTGCCCTTGGACAGGCGCTCGGGTCTGCCTCGGTGGGTCTTGTTCTGCTGTCTCTTCCTGTCCATCCTGGTCATGCTGTGGCTGAGTTGCTGTACCCTGGTCACCACACCTGGCCAGCACCTCAAGTTCCAGGTGAGCAGCGGCTGGGGGTGGGGGCTGGGAACAGGGCCGGAAGCCTAGGGCTGCCTGCTGGGGAACCCTGCTCGCCCTAGTAAGCCAGAGGAGGGTGTTTTGCCCCATCCCTACAGCCTCTGACTTCAGAGCAACACAGGGGTCTCCTGGTGGAGTCAGAGTGGCCTTTGTACCCTCCCCCATCGCCTGCCTGTGAGGACAGCCCCCCGCCCTACAAGTTGAAGCTAGATTTGACAACGCTGTAGTCTTCGGACTGTTGCCAAGTGCGGGGGTCCCTTTGTTCGCTCTGCAGCCTGAAGCCCAAGGTCAGGGTGAGGACCAGCCTTGGCCTCACGTACCACCCCCCAATCCTCCCCTCTCTTGCCAGCACACCCTTCAGTCCCCTTGAGACAGGGGACCCTGACTAGGTGGGGAGGGTGGGATCTGGCCTCTCCACCCACACTGCCTGGCTTTCTCTGGAGCTGCCTTTTGCTTTTCTCACAAGCTCTTGCTGTGAACTCTGTCTGTGTTGCCTTTCTTATCCTTCCTCTGTGTCCTCACTTGGGGGCTGAGGTCTCAGGGGTTCCCCTCTGCTAAAGCTCTTTCCATTTCTCTCTGGAGACCCAGCCCCACAAAAGGGAGTGGTGGGAACTCCCTTCTGGGAGGAGATGAGGAGTAAACCTTTAAATAAAGTGAATAAAAGAGGATGGTTGAGCCTGCTGTATTATATTGCTTTTGTATGTTTGCTTTTTAGTTATGCAGTTCAAGCTGGTTTAGACCTGTCAATGTTCCGTCCTCAGTCTGAGTGCTGAGGTGACTGGGCTGTGCCATGTGACATTGAGTGTACCCTCAGGAGCAGGCACTATGTGCACAGCTGGAGGGGCCTCGTTGGAGTAGTGCTCTACTCACAATCGAAACACCCACTCTCTCCCTAGCGCTGGGAACCATGGTTTTCCTGTCTTCCAAAGCGGCTCCTCTAACCAGTTAGCCCAGTTCTAGTCCTCCAGCTTCTCTCACCAAAGGGACCTCTAGGCTCCCTCTCCATTCTCCCATCCCCATGCTTGACCCTTCGCCTCTGGAGCTTGCCTGGTTTCCATGGCAACCCCAGAGCCCCTCCAGTCTCTCTCCAGTCCTACCTGGAAAAGAAAAGGCTTGATTAGACAAAAAAAAAAAAAAAAAAGCTTGATTAGACACGACTGTCCCCTGTATTCTACTGTCACAGGGGGTGCTGTGTGACAGTACAGCTGTGTCCGCAAGGTTCCCATGATGTAATCTGGGAATCTCCAGTCAACCCTAGCTCCCTGTCATCTGTGGCCCAGGCCGACCTGGAACTCCTGATCCTCCCGCCTCTACCTCCCAAGTACCGGGATGACAGGTGTGTTTGTGAAGCGCTGGGGACAGAACCCTGGGCTGCACATGAGTGCAGGGCAGGCGCTCTACCGACGGTGCAGGCCCCAGCCCTTTGGTCCAGTTTGAATCCTGTGTTACTCTGAGTCTCTCTTCAGTGCTCCCAGTGCTCTGACTGCTGCCGCCCTGTCCTCAGCATGGTAACTCAGGTTAGGGGATTTGCCACTCCTCAGGAGCAGCTGGGACATCTTGGGGCTGCGGGCTGGTTACTAGCCACCGGTTTCTACCAGGAGAGGAGGCTGTGAGGCCACACGGCTGACGTCCAGACTTGATGCAGCCCCTGAAGCCTGTTTCCTCAGTGGTCCCCACGGTTCTGTTCTGCCAGCTGGTGTGGCATGCAGATCAGGTGGTGTCTGGCTGGCTCAGGGCAAGCTGCAGAGCACCCATGTGTCCAGGTAGCAGGGGGTTGCCATGGGAACCAGCATCCCACTTCTCTGGCGACCGAGCAGCATGGGGTAGCTCTGTTGTCAGGGCTAGGTAGGAAGGGAACCAGGTTTTGCTGTTTTGCTGGCACAACAAGGACACCCTGCACACTGAGAGAAAGATGGGACTCATGGCCCCTGGAGGGAACAGAGGGCAAAGGTCAGATTCCCACACTAAAGCTGCCTTTTGGCCCCACAAGGGCTGTTCCTTGTGCCTTGAAGGCTGTTCCCTGTGCACTCCTGATGAGTTCTTTGGCCTAAAAGAATCTCCCAAGCCTTCCAGCTCTGGCCTGAAACCTGTGTTAAAATGTCTCAACTACAGTTGTTATCATGTTGACAATTAAGCCGCCGCTTCCTCACTTCTGTGATGATTGGTTTAATGAATGGTCCCTCTGCCAGATGTGACATGCTGGGTGTCTCGGTCACAGCTGTGTCCCACACACTGAGGAATCCGTTCTCAATACATCTTTGTCGACACTCTCTTTGCCCCGCCCCACTCCCCATGGAGCCTCTGTGGCTCCTTCGCTTTCCCATGGGCTCCTTCTGGCACTTCTTAGGGCTGTCTACATCACATCCACCTGGAATGTATTGGAACATTCTGGACTTTTCTTTCTTTTTTTTTTTGGTTTTTCGAGACAGGGTTTCTCTGTAGCTTTGGAGGCTGTCCTGGAACTCACTTTGTAGACCAGGCTGGCCTCGAACTCACAGAGATCCGCCTGCCTCTGCCTCCCTAGTGCTGGGATTAAAGGCGTGCACCACCAACGCCTGGCTCATTCTGGACTTTTCTACAGTGTTCTCAAAATAGTGCCATGTTCTGGAAAACATTCTAGAATATCTTCTACTCTTATTAGCAGAGATGGCATCGTGTCTTTAGGCATCCTTGACCCCGCTAAGGGACTTGCTGCCTTGGTGCAGCTGTCACCATCCAGAGTGGCCTTTGTCATTGACCACTATGCATGCTATGGGTTTACATTTTGCATTAGAATATATTTCACAAATATTCTGGAATTCAGGGGCAAGGTTTTGTGAGTGTATTAAGATCTCAATAGTCGCTGTAGCCCTCCCATCTTAAAAACAAACAAGTGGACATCTCCTGAGGAATGACACTCAAGGCTGACCCCTGTCAACCAAACAGTGCACAGGCATGAACCTTTCTGGTGAACACACACAATAAATGAAGAAGTAAGATGAGCTTTCTTCCCCCTTCCTTGCAGTGTTGAGGAAATGGCTTTGGGCACGTCAGGTCAGAGCCTGTGACAGGACTCCTCTGTAGTCAGCACCCAGCAAAGGGGTCTTTGTAAATAGTTTTCCCGTGTTACCCAGAACATCCCTACAGATCTTTGTGGTTCAATTCTTACCAACTCACCCAGGCAGCCCCTACCCTGGCCTGTCTTCATGGCTCTGCAAGGTCTATTTCTCACTGTTACAGGAACAGACACACAGCCTGTCCTCAAATTCCATGGCATCTGGCTGCTTCGCTCTGTGGAGGCCCCAATGGACGAACAGGGGCTGGGGTCCCTTCCTTTTCCTTGTTGCACTGCTGTCCCTTGTGCACTCCTGACACCAAGCTGTGGCCTTCCACCTTGCGTCCCCCTGGACATTCTGGCCCCTCCCACAAGGCTCTAGAATGTCATGTCTACTGCTGTGTGACCACATGCTAACCGGTCCACCTGCTGATGGCCTTGAGAGGGTTTAGTCTGTGGCAGTTCATTTGCATTTGCATCTCTGGGTAACAAAGAGAAAACCCCTAAGGGCCTGGGAAGATTTCTCGGTGGACAAAGGCTCCTGCCACCACGCTGGAATCCGACTGATGCCTGGAGCCTACAAGACAGACAAGGAGAGCTGATTCCCACAGTTGTTTGCTGACCTCCATACGTTCATGTGACAGACATCCACACGTGTGTGGACACACACAGATTAACTAAGATTGTAACCACCAGCAACAAAACCCTTTAATGAGTAGTGTCCTTGTCCCAATGTCCTTCCCATTGGTAGTTCAGAGTGGGGGTTCACTTGGAAGTGTTTTGTTTTTTGTTTTGTTCTTTGGTCAGTGTGATTATGATCAGATTCGGGTAATGTCAAAGTGGACCAGGGTGGGCCTTACACTCCAAAATGGACTTTTTAGTATCCTCCTCCTCCTCCGTCTTTTTGATTTTTCAAGACAGGGTTTCTCCGTGTAGCTTTGTTGACCAGGCTGGCCTTGAACTCACAGAGATCCACCTGCCTTTGCCTCGTGAGTGTGCGCCACCACCCAGCTTGTGTCTACCTTCTGTCTGTCTCTATGTTGAATGACGAGTGAGGGCACATGCCACAGTGTGTGTGTGTGTGTGTGTGTGTGTATGTGTGTGTGTGTGTGTGTGTGTAGGACTGAGGGACAATTTGCAAGAGTCCCCTCCTGTCGCCTGTGTTGCAAAGATCACACTCGGTTGCTGGGCAACAGGCACCTGTACCTGCCGAGCCCCCGCCTGCTCCTTGCTCTCTTTTCATCTTTCTTGGAAGGATGCTGCATGAACCAGGCTGGCCTTGAATGAAGTAGCTCTTTTCCTACCTAGCCTCCAGAGCTCTGGGATGGTAGGTGTGTGCCATCACAAGTGGCCTAAAACATCTTGTAAAACAGACAAAAAAATGAGGGGGTAGAGATCTCGGTGGCTCAGGGTTAAGAGCCCAGCCGTTCTCGCAGAGGATCCAGTTAGGTTCCCAGTGCCCACAGGGTGGCTCACACCCATCTGTGACCTTCGAACCGGCTGGCCCTCTGCCACGTGGTCCTGACCACTGAGGCATCGTGAGCCTACTGACCTGAGTGGGCGTCCCCAGGCATGCTTTCTTGCTTGCCTCCAGGCGAGCTCTGTATCCAACATGTGGGTTGAATCTGGATGAGTGTGAATTGTGCACACATATGGACACCATTGACTGGGCGGCACGTGTGGAGGGTGTGCAAGCTATGGGCCTTTCTACCAGTGTGGTTGAGCTGCTTACGGCGCAGCTGGGGCCAGAGTTCTCAAAACGGACCTTAGGTGGGCAAGAGTTCATCCCCAGAGCATGGGATTGCAGAGATTGGCACACGGATAATTAATTCACTGTTCACAATAGGTAGTGTCTGTCAGTTTGCACAGTATTGTCTCCTGGGTATTTTACAAAATGTCTGAGCACCTACTGTGTTCCATTGCACTTGACCATACTTTGTTTTGTTAGTTTGAACCACAGTTAGCCCAGGGTGGCCTTTTTTGCTGTATAGGTAAATTGACCCTGAACTCCTAATCCTACTTCCTCAGCCTCTGAGTGCTGGGGTGGGAGGAGCGAGCCCCACATTTGCTAGTGTTTACTTTTACCTGAAGGAGTTGCTCTTCCAAGCTGACTTTCTGGAACTTGCTGTGTTGATAAGGCTGCCTCTACCTACTTGGGGTTTCACAATGGGTCACCAGCTCAGAAGCCTAAATGGGTGAAAGGCTCAAGGGTTCTGGTAGTTACCCCCTTTCAGGGCAGAGTCTGGGCTTGTGGTGGTTGCAGTGTCTTAAAATCTCTCTTTCAGGTGGTCTGTGCTCCATGGAATCCTAAACAGGAAGGGAAGGGAGAGAAGAAAGGAAGACAGCCGGGTGTGACACATGCCTGTCAGGCCAGCACTCAGCAGGATGAGACAGGAGGGTTCTTTGTAGCCCAGCATGGGAGACACAGTTTTTTTTTTTAATCTTTATTTTATGTGCATTGGTGTTTTGCCATAGGTGTCAAGTCCCCTGGAACTGGAATTATAGACAGTGTGAGCTGCCATGTGGATGCTGGGAATTGAACCTGGGTCCTCAGAGCCATCCACTGAGCTCTCTCTCCAGCCCCTGGGAGACACAGTCTTAACAAAAGAAAAAAAATTGCTGAGGCATGGGAGTGCAGAATTCTTTTTTTTGTTGTTTGTTTTTCGAGACAGGGTTTTTTTGTATTGTTTTGGAGCCTTACCTGGAACTCGCTCTGTAGACCAGGCTGACCTTGAACTCACAGAGATCCACTTGCCTCTGCCTCCCGAGTGCTGAGTGCATCCCTGGGGTACGAGCAGGAGATACAGGAGGAGAGGTGATTTGAGCGTTGGGCCTGAGGGCAGAGCGGGAGCATACGATGGGAAGGCAGAGAGATAGGTTCAGGCTGGGAAAGGGATGCTGTAGGGACGGGTTCTGTAAACTTAGAGACTTTGTACCCTCTCTCACCAGGGTGTGCAACCCTCAACCACGCCCACACGCGTGTACTGCCACGCCCACACGCTACTCGCCCCGCCCTCCATGACTGGACACACACCTTAGGCCAGGGTCCGCCCCTCCCAAGTCCCGCCCCTCCTTGCAATCGCCTCATGATTACCCAGGCACCCTGCAACCCGGCCAGGTCGGGATCCCTCTTATCCTTGGCCATGGCCAGGCCCAGCGTCTCCATCGACCCCGCCTTTCTCCCGTGCCAGACACACCCCTTCCTTCCGCAGCGTCAGCCTTGCTCTAATTACAAGACCCCCCCATCTTCTCTTTCGCCCTAGCACGACCTAAGCCCCATCTTCCGATGACCACGCCCTTCTCAGACCAGTCACTACCCTTCATCATCTTGGGCTACTTCTCTCCTCCAGGGGCGGCTGCAATCCTCCACGCTCCCGGTGAGCATAGATCTACCTCCCCAGATACGCCCCTCAGACCGCCCTCATCTTCCTGATGATGTAGGGAAGCAACAAGGCTCCATTTCCTGCACAGGGCATCCCTCCTGTCCTTCCCCAGACCAAGCCCCGCCCCATCCCAACTCAGGCCCCGCCCCAGGCCCTGCCCCCTCGCCCCCCCCCCCACTCAGGTCCTGTTTTCTGAGAGCTTCCACAGGCCCCGCCTCTCTCCAGGTCGGACCTCAGAGACCTTCGGACCCTCAGCCCCTCAGACCCCTCACCCACTCACACCCTTCCCTCCTCAGGGCCAGCCTTAGGCCCTGCCCATGGCTCTTACTGTACGGCTCCCAGTTCTTTTTCTGTAATTTATTTTATTTATGTGGCTTGGTGTTTTACCTGCATGCAGATCTGTGTGAGGGTGCAGACAGCTGTGAACTGCCATGTGGGCGCTGGGAATTGAATCCGGGTCTTTTGGAAAAGCAGAGTGCTCTTACCCAGTGAGCCCTCTGCAGCCCTTACTCCCAGTTCTTAAGCTCCGCCTCTCTCAAGGCTCCGCCCCTAGCCCCTCCTACCGCCCCAGGTCCCGCCCTCGCTCTCTTCAAGCCTCGTCCCCTCGTGCCCGCCCTTAGACTTCCTTAGGCCTTGCCCATTGCTCTCCTCTGACTCCTCCCCTACTCTCATTAGGCCCCGCCCTGCGCCCCAAGCTCCGCCCCGAGACCACGCCCACACCCCGAGTCCCTCCCTCGTCCTCAGCAGGCCCCGCCCGCTGCCCCGGCCTCGGTCTCCCGGTCGGCGCGCGTCTCTGTCGCTCGGGCGCGCGGCGGAAGATGGCGGAGTCCGGTGGCGGCAGTGGCTCTGGCCAGAGTCCCGAGCGCCCGAGCAGGTGAGTCCCGCGCCTCCGTGGGCACGCACCTCTCGGCTGGGGCGCCGCCGACCTGGGACCGCCAGAGCGTGATCGTTCCGGGACTCCGGCTGCCACGGCCCTGAGCCAGCGTGCAGGCCTGAAAGCAGGCTGAGGCCCGGCGTCTGGGGGCCTGGGAAGGTGACAGACGCGGGAGGCTGTACGAAGACCTCGGGGCCCGGCGGGGGCCCAGGCGTGCCTGGAGGAGACACGGAAGCCACCTGGCGACCTCCACAGGCCCGATGCACAGGGAGCTGTCTAGGGGCCTGGCAGGGAACCCGAGGCCTGGGCATGTCTGCAGGGGGATATTGAGGCCAGTCACCTGGGGGCCTGGGCATGCCCGGGAGACCTCAACAGGTCCTGATTTGCAGGAAACTGTCCAGGGGCCTGGTAGGTGGACAAGGGACCTGAGCGTGTCTGGAGAGAACACTGGGGCGCGGTGGGGGATAAGTGTCCTGATGGACAGGGAGTCCCAAGGGTTGTGAGAGATGGGAGTCAGGTTTGGGGAACTCGAGCGAAAGGGTCTTGAGGGCGGAGTCTTTCTTTGAGATCCCTCCCTTCCATCTTCATTGGGTGCAAATCCCCCCCCAAAGGATTGAATAGGAGGTTTTGCCCTCAGATACTGGAGCCCATATCCATCTCTTTGGTCAGTGGGCTCCCTCTTTCTTGGTCAACTTCTGAAGAGGGTTCTTTGAACAGATGTCGTTAAATACTTGCTTTATTTTGGTTTTCCAAGTTGCTGTGTAGCTGAGGATAACATCCCACTGCAGACCAGACCGCCTCAACCCGGTGTCGGGGTGACAGGCATGCATCAGCATTCCTGGGTGTGGTCACAGGGTTTCCCTGGGCAGCACCTGCGGGCCTTGAACTTGCAAACTGCTGCTGCAGTGCGCCGCAGGTGATCGCACACTTGTGACCCGGGATCTGAAGGGGACTCTTAGGGAGCACCCTGCCTGGGGAGGCTGAGGAAGACATTCAGACGCTCCCTGCATTGTGAGTGTACAGGAGCCCGGAGCACGGTCCGTGTGACAGTGGTCCTCACGTGGGGCTCTGAGTCGGCATTGGGGCTGGAGGTCATTGCTGACTGGGGAAGCCCTGTCACCAAGAGGAGGCACAGACCCTGCCTGTTCCCAGAGGTGCTGACCGGCTCCTGGGAGGTTCAGTGTGAGCTCAGGGCCCAGCCAGGGACTCTGCACAGAAGAGTGACAGCTGCTGCAGAGTCAGAGAGTGGTGGGGACTGGAAGCCTGCAGTGGGCAGCATGGGGACATCGGGGAGTGTGTCTGTGAGTATGTGTTGTGTGTGCCTGGGTGCCTGTGGAGCCAGAAGCGTGAGCCTGATGGGGAGCTGCTGTGAGCTGCCCACTGTGGGTGCTGGGAACTGAACTTGGGTCGCCTGGAAGAACAGTGCATAACCTTAACTGCTGAGCTGGCTCCAGCCCCTTTTTTGGGGGGTGTTGAGACAGGGTTTCTCTGTAGCTTTGGAGGCTGTCCTAGAACTCACTCTGTAGATCAGGCTGGTCCAAACTCACAGAGACCCGCCTGCCTCTGCCTCCTGAGTTGCACCACCACCGCCCAGTGAGTTTTGTGGTTGTTTGAGTCAGGGTCTCACTTTGTAGTCCTCACTGGCCTGACATTTACATTTAGCACAGGCAGGCTTTGAACTCCTGACCTCTTGCCTTCAAGAGTGTTGGGATAGCAGGTGTGCACACCTCACCTAGCCTACTTCACTTCTTTAAGTTGTTTTTAATCAATTGCTGTTTGGAGATTTTCTTATCCTATGTGTGCTTTGCCTGCATTTCTCTGTGCACCGTGTGCTCTCCTGGTGTGCTTGGAGGCCACAAGAGGGCACTGGATCCCCTGGAACCGGAGTTTCAGATGTTGTGAGCCTCCGTGTTGTGGCTGGGAACTGAACCTGGTCCTCTGTGACAGCAGCCAGTGCTTCTCTAGCTGCCTCCAGCCTCCGATTTTCCTCTTTTTAAACGAGCAGTTTATTGACTTTATTGGTGTGCATCCAACCCCCACGTCCTTGTTTGCTTATTGTTATTAGTCACTTTAGATCTTTTTGATTGTTTGTTGTTGTTTTTGAGATGGGGTTTCTCTGTGTATCAGTACTGGCTGTCCTGGAACTTGCTCTGTAGACCAGGCTGGTCTCGAACTCACAGAGGTCCGCCTGCCTCTGCCTCCCTAGTGCTGGGATTAAAGGTGTGCGCCACCACTGCCGCAGACACGGTATTTTGATGGAGTTCCCAGTTCTAGATGTGTCAAGGCAGAAAGTGGCTGGTTATGCCCACAGCAGACAGACCACTATTCCCCAGTGGGATGTCCTGCGATCTTCGCATGTGTGGTCACAGCTAAAACTGGATGGCAGTTCTCCCAGCTTGTCAGGGTTGGCATTAAGTGCCCACTGAGCCATTTCCATGGCATTGTTTGTGTGTTTGTGTATGTGTAGTATATGTGTACAGTCAGAGGTCAATGTCAAGTGTCTTCCTCTGTCCCCCCTGCCCCCTTTAGCAATTGTCTGGAGAGGGTTTTGTTTTGGACAGGGTCTGCCACTGAGCCTGGGTTTGCCGTTTTGGTAATGGGATCCACTTGTCTTTTCCCCGGTGCTGAAGTTAGAGGCATTTGTCTCTATGCCTGGCTGGCTTTTGTTTATTTGTTTTTAATATGGGCACTGACCATCCAAATTTGCGCTTGTGTGGCAAGCATTTTTGTGACTGAGCCATCTTTACAGTCTCTTGGATTTTTGTTTTGTTTTTTTTCAGACAGAGTGTCATGTAGCTCAGCCCTCACAGTTGATACTTGGCTGAGACTGGACTTGAATTCTTTATCCCCTGCTCTATCTCTGTGGTTTTGGGATGACAGATGTATACCACCAAACCTAGCTAGGTTTTATCTTTTGAGGTGAAACTGTATAACACAAACTCTGCCCTTATCAGTGGACAGTTCTGTGGCAGTTAGCACATCCACAGAGAGACACTGTACATGTGTTAGCACATCCACAGAGAGACACTGTACATGTGTTAGCACATCCACAGAGACACTGTACATGTGTTAGCACATTCACAGAGACACTGTACATGTGTTAGCACATCCACAGAGAGACACTGTACATGTGTTAGCACATTCACAGAGACACTGTACATGTGTTAGCACATTCACAGAGACACTGTACATGTGTTAGCACATCCACAGAGAGATACTGTACATGTGTTAGCACATCCACAGAGACACTGTACATGTGTATACCCCATTGGTCCCTCCCCAACCTGGCAGCCCTGGACATTACACGTTGATGGGATTCCTTGAGGTGACCAAACCCATGCTCCCTCCCCTCGTGCCTCCTCCCCTCTCTGCTCCCTCCTCCTTTTCCTCCCTTCCCCCATCTCTCCACTCTCCATCTCTCCTAACAGCTCAGGCTCTATTAACTTCTGTCTCCAGTCTTGGGTTTGGGTTTTTTTGTTTTTGTTTTTTGTTTTGTTTTGTTGTTGTTGTTTTAGTTTTGAGACAGAGTTTCTTTGTGTAGCCCTGGCTGTCTTGGAACTTGCTTTGTAGGCCAGGCTGTCCTCAAATGCAGAGAGATCTGCCTGCCTCTGCCTCCTGAGTGCTTCGATTAAAGGCGTGGCCACCACCACCCTGCTTGTATTATTTTGTGTGAGACAGTGATTCCCTGTGCCACCACACCTGGTCTGCCTCATCCATCTTGAAATGCCACTTCCTCTGTGTGGCTCATTTCACCTTGCTTCCGGTGCATCTACATTGTGGCACAGATCAGTGTTTCATTCCTTTTCATGATCAAATAATATTCCAGTGTGTGGCTAATCACCATTTTATTTATATTGTTGCCACCTGGTGGATACCTCTGCTTGCTTATTTTTTTAAATAATTTTTAGAAGATTTGTTTATTGTTTGTATAGTATTCTATCTGCATGTATGTATACCTGCATGTATTCCTGTAGAGGGCAGCAGATCTCATTACACATGGTTGTGAGCCACCATGTGGTTGCTGGGAATTGAACTCAGGACCTCTGGAAGAACAGTCAGTGCTCTTAACCTCTGAGCCATCTCTCCAGCCCGTGTCTGCTTGTTTTTGTGGTGGTTGTCATTGTTTCTAACAATATCTCAGCCAAGAGCAGTACTGTCATGATACCTGTAATTTTAGCATTTAGGGAGATTGATTACTTCAAGTTTGAGGCCAGCCTGTGCTACATAGTGAGTCCAGGCTTGCTTGAGCTGCAGAGTGAGGCACAAAGGGGAGGGGAAGGAAACTGCCCTAGGGGCTGCTCAGTCGTGGAGGGCTTGCTTGGGACACAGGAAGCCCTGGTTCACACTAAGTAGCGAAGCCAGAGACTAACCAAACTAAGCTACCACCCTGAGTCTAGTCATTCATAAGCAAAGATGCTTGAGAGCAAGAGCTGGGGTGGCATCTGCTCTGCCCCTATGTCTCCCAGTGTCCCCCCACATCGTCATCGGAAGGTCAGAGCAGCAGAACCTTGGGGACACCGCACCAGGCTGACTGACATTCCTTTTCAGAAGCCCCGCCTGCCACGCCGTGCCATTGAAGAAACACTTTGGTCTCGGTGGGAATAGGCCACATCCTGCTCCCAGCTGTGGCTCCGGGTCTGTTTATTTGCCCACTGGTGCTGGTCACTGGCATTGAGGACCAGTAGGGCGTGTGTGTGACAAGTGGGTCTGTGTGCACGGTAGTGCGCTCTGTACAGAGTGGCGGGCAGTGCTCATGTGGTTTCTAGTGACCATCTTAGTCACTACCTGCTGCGATTTGGTGATTGTCCTCTCCCAGAGAGCCTTGTGGATGGCCAGTATGTGCTCTGGGCAACTGTCCTAGAGCCTGGGACACAGAGTGTGCTGGACTCATTTCTCCAACTTTCAGCCAGACCATCTCCTTCCAGGGAGTCAGACCTTCTTGGGGAGACACTTTGACCTCCCCAGGAGCAGGGACTCTGGCCTTGACTGTGTCACCATCTCTAGGGCAGTTCTGTAGCCTGGCAGGTCATTCCCTCATCTGCCCATGCAGGATGGTGTCAGTTGGCCATGCTGGGGGTGACATCTGTGTTTCCCACTATGTCCACCCACACTGCCCCCCATTATGTAACTTGTTTGTTCTGATTTCTCTCTTGACTACGGGAGAAGGAGAACCTGGCTTCCCTTTCCTTGTCTCTTGGGAGCAACAAACCCTGTTGCCTAGTGGAGCCTGTCATAATGTCTGAGTTGAAACTCAGTGGATTGCACGGCCACCAAGCTGGTGGCGGGCAGAGAGAAAGCCAGAGCTTGGCCCAGGAAACAAAGAGCACTTGTTCTGAGAGACTTCCTCCCAGGTTGAGCCTGGCCAGCTCCTCCTCCAGGGAACTGAAGGCTGAGCCACCAGGGCTGTA